TTTCATCTGAAGGTTCGGTAGTTTCATCTGAGGGTTCGGTAGTTTCCTCTGAGGGTTCAGTTGTCTCTTCTAAGGGTTCAGTTGTTTCTTCTGAAGAAATAAGTGGTACGTAACCTATCACACCGAATTCTTTAACAATTTCACAGTTATAGCTTTCAACTGAAAATAAACGATAGGAACAACTATATAATGATGGATCGACTTCAAGAATATCACCTGCGGGAGACATGGTCCAAGTGAACCAACCGTTCACACCTCCAGGACTAATATAATTCCATTGCCCTACACCAACTATTTTGCCATCGAGCAATAAATTTGGATATTCGTATGTGAATTCACTTGCCATATTTATATTGTTGTTCAAGATGCATGAATCGGGGGAATTGCAATCAATATACTGAGTAGCATAATAAAAATATGTCAACTTGAATGTGGCAGCGAGTGACGAGAGAGTCAATGCAACTACCAATTCTGAGATTCTCATTTTTGGTCAAATAATAAATACCCAGGTTATTCTTGCTCAAAAAAGAAGCATTCCTCGTCCTTCGAAGAAGTAAATTAAGGTGAAAATCATTCCTTTATAAGTAAAAGAACGGTGGGACCGCAGTGTACGAAACTCATACATTTTCAGAATATAATATGTTCAAAATGATTTTAAATTTAAGAATAGTATAACTTTAATGCTCATTTTCTGTTCAAGGCAAAGAAACTCAATACATCCAGCACAGCTTAGTTTTGCGCATTTGCCATTGAGTGAGGGGGGTAAACCGAGTGTCTATTTTACAAGAATGTGGCAACTACAAAAACCAAACAATAACAGGTTTTCTTTGACACTGGAAATATTTTTATTGCAACTCCACAATTTTCGGAGCATTTGCTCAAATATGAGCAAAAATGATGCTATTTGTTATAGAATAATTGGATCGAGCTGGGTTATAGGGATTGAATATCAATATGATACTTAGTTTAAAGTATTCAAATCGTGAAAAGACTAAGTATTGGGGAGGAACTTAATATTTACTGGTGATCCTGTAAATTTTGCAATTACAAAAGCTTTTTTTTTTTAAGTTTTCAGAATTTGCAATCACAAAAGCTTAATCATTTTAAGTTTTAATCGGCCCACAAAAACGACAGAAAGGTAACGAAAGCGAAATAAGCATATGTTCGAAGGTCAATGCCAAGCAATTAAATTGACGTATTTGACAAAATTCTCTCCACTCTTGTGATAGAATTGTAAGAATAGACTTCCTCAAATGATAGATGTCCTTTTGTATGGGGACCATGGAGAATTAATTAATAATAAGGTTTATAGGGTATTCGCTATTAATAATCAGTTCAACTAGTGATTAAATAATCATATGCATCATTTTAGTAATAAATCAAAAGGAGTTCTAAGGCATTGTTAAATGCGAACTCTAACTTTGTTCCAACTATTGAAATGGAACTGCTTGTCTCAGGAGTAGAAGAAGATGATAACGAAGAACATAGTTATTACAAATACACCCCTTCAATGTCTATTAAAATCCATACTTAAGCAATATCAAATAAAACTCTTTTCTAGAAAAACTCACAGATTTTTAAACTCAAATTTTCACGTTGCGACTTCCTACAATTAATTTAATTAACATGAGATGTTGCCGGACGCTTTTTACTACAATACTGAAACACTGCTCATATTCCCAACACTTAATTAATTTCATTCACAATTATAATCTTCAGCTCTTAATTTCTTCATGTAAGAAGTCTTGCATTAACACAGATCTCAACACCAACTGCCGTATAATTGTAATTAAGTCAACCGTAGGAGAAGTGCTGAATCTGTTGAAGTTAACATTCATTACCAAAAATATTTGTTGGTGGTCAAATGAAATTTTGCAATCACACGAGTTTAATTATTTTAAGTTTTCATTGCCCCACTCAAAAATGACGGAAGGGTAACGTAAGCGACAGAAGTTTATGTCAGAATGTCGGTGCCAAGGGATTAAATTAACGTTTTTGTCAGAATATTCTCCACTCTTGTAGTAGAACTGTAAGAATAGACTTTATCGAATGATAATTGTACTACAATCTACATGGGGACCATGCAGAATTAATTATAAAGCTTTTAGGTTATTGAATCTTTTCTTCTTTTATTAATAAGGAGTTCAACTAGGGATTCAATAATCACATGCATCATTATAGTAATAAATCGAGAGGAGTTCTACGGCATTGTTCATTGCAAACTCTAACTTTGTTCCAACATCCGTATAATTGTAATTAAGTCAACTGCAGGACAAGTGCTGTATCTGTTGAAGTTAACATTCATCACCACGGCATTGGGATGAATCAACAAAATTTTTATTGTTGTTCTTTTATGGAAGAGCTCACAAGTCCGAAAGTTTACCTGATCATGGTTTCATAAAATTGAGATAGACTTTTCCCTGAAATAGGCTTTAAGAAATTTATTCAACGGGATAAAATGGCCCTTAAACAATTTAAAGAACAATGGCCCAGAGTTCTTAACATTTATTTTTCTATGAATTTGGTTATTTTCTATATTCTATTTACCTTAACAAATTACTCGATATCCAAATTATGATTATTGCTATTGGTTTTTAAGCATTGTTTTGTTTAGAGAATGTACGACTTTATTATAGAAATCCTACTGTAACCCTATTGATTTTAGTACGCATTATTTAGTTAAAAAAGAGTTCAATATAAAGCTCGTATTTCTATCTAAACTAGCTAGACACAGGTGAGATTACTATATAGAAAGCTTAACTCACTAGTAGCAAAATAACAAAAAGCTTAAAAGTTTTCTAAATTATAATTGGTTAAACTTCATCGAAAAGATTATTGGTCCGATAACCTGGCAATATTAGGGAGGTGTGCATTGTATTTTTTAATGAAGAATAAGACTATGTTGATGGTATAGGAATACCACTCTCTGTAGTATTCCAATAAGGCCCGGGAAGTCCTCTTTTTCGAATTAATTTCTAGTTTAGACCTGTTGCGTTGAGGTCTACCTTAGATACATTTTGGTCAATTTCAAGATCACTTCTTAAAGAGTTGTGGAATGATGGGTTCCGTATTTTTATCTATCTTGGAAGGATACGGTAAAAGTTGGCTACCTGCTGAATGCATTGTTCAAGAAGTATTTGACAAAGGTTTCGATGTCGTTCAGGTGAGATCTTAGTCTTAACCCAATCCTGTCCTTGGAAGGAACATTTATATGCCATTTAAAAGGAAAACAACTCTGAAGGAGTTACCAAGTTTGTGTTATTCAAGGATTCTACCGATAAATGGAGAGTTTCTACTGTTTCTGTTACCTCATCATCTTTTGAATTTAGATTAGGTCTTCCAGAAGAATTAAGAGGATTAAGAGATGAAGAATTAAGCCAAAAGAGTGGTGTTGCGGGTTGTATCTTCATTCATGCTGCAGGATTCATTGGAGGTGCCAACTCCGAAGAAGGTGTCTTGAAATTAGCAAGAATGTCATTGGAAAAGAAATAAGCTTAGTCTCTGATGAACATTAGATAGTGTAATATATAGGTATATTCATAAATGTAATCATTATTATTCTGTACGATTTCAAAACTAGTTGACAGCGAGGTATAAGAGGACAAATTTGGAAAATGTAGTATTACATAAAGAACTTTTCTTACCATAATTGAACTTCTGATTCAATCCCATGAATTCTGGAATTGGTTAATTATTGCCAGAACGTTTGAAGTTTGATTAGTTTCAAGACATGAGCTGATTTTGTGAGACACAAGGTCAAAAAAATCCGCGGGAATTTATTACCTGATTTAGGATGGCGAGGAATTCCTTTCCTGATTGCGATAATAAATTCCGACAAGCAATGCAGAAGCTGGACATATGCTGGAAGAAATTCCGACAAGCAATCTAGCAAGAAGACTAGATAGGAAGAAAAACTCGCAAGTTATAACCAGTTTAATTAGACACAAATCCATCGGAACGGAAGCAGCGTAAAATTTTTATGCAAGAATTATTATGTAACACCTTATTTTTAAACGTTGAAGCGCAATTTTGAATAAATGGCATTGTCAGACAAAACAAAAGGGCGGAATTTCTGACGAGGCGAAATCAAAAGCTGGGTGGATTATGCTTCGAGAAGATTCATGTATTAGAGCTACGACTATTACGTCAGAGAAGAGAGGCCATGGATATATTGCAATATCGATGATCCAGCTTTGGAACTATTGACGACGATACCGCCAGGCCCTCAGCTTTGTGCACCAAAAAGACTTGCACATGGCGCAGGCTTTGCCCAAACAAAAAATCTTGGCTGGAATTACACTGATTGGTTGAATGATTCAATTTCCCCTCGGTCGTTATCCCCCATGTTTCAAAATACAATTGGATATTATACATTGTAATTGGACAGGATTTAGTTTCTCGTCAACTAGCACCAAATTTGTACCCGTTTCTACTGTGTAGTTCCAACAGCAAAGTTGGAATAAAAGCCATCCGATTTAGGAAGTAATTGCGCTTTTGCTTGGCACAGACAATTGGGTTGCATATCGAAACCTTAAAAATAAGTTTTGCGTAATTTTCAAATATTTTTTGATTTTTTTCATGACTTTTTTAAAGCCATTAGTTGATGATTAATCCAATGTATGTATATAAAATATGATCTATCTCATTTTATATTCCTGTTAATAACAGTTTAACATTTATGTCATATGTTTCATTCATTCTTTTAGTTAGAAAAACATAACCATAGCAAGAAATAAACCCATTCGAATATGACAGGTACAAACATACTTCATATAGATCCTGATAGAAGAGTAGGATTGAAAGTACGACACTTATCAGTCTCGCTTAAATCACAAATACCAAAACAACAACCCCTTGAAGATGAATTAGAATCCTCAACCAATTCCGAATCTCATAAGATCTTAAATGACATTAACTTTGACCTTGCAGCCGGTCAACTTATGGCAATTATGGGAGGTTCAGGAAGTGGTAAAACCACCTTGTTAAACACTTTATCACAACGAACAAATATCACCAACAAGAAACTCCGCTTTTCAGGATCCGTGAACTATATCACTGGAGATCATAAATCAATTTCTCATTCATATTTATTGCAAACTGATTACTTCTTACCCGGATTAACGATATTGGAAACCTTGAAAAGTCAAGCTGATTTAAGATTACCTTCCACCGTCACACAGATCGAAAAGAACAATTTGATTGAGTTTATATTGAATGTATTAGAATTATCACATCTCAAGAATAGTATAATCTCCTCATTTTCAAGCCAAGCAACTAGTCTTTCTGGAGGCGAACAACGAAGAGTCTCTTTAGCAATTCAATTATTATCCAAACCGGCAATTTTATTCTTGGATGAACCAACTACTGGATTAGACACCTCCAGTTCCTTAAAACTAGTTGAATTACTTCATAAATTAACCAACAATTATGGAATCACAATCATTTTATCTATCCATCAACCCAGACCCGAAATTTGTGAATTATTTGATAAGATATGTTTATTGACTCGTGGAGGTAGATTGATCTATTATGGGAATTTAACCAATGCCGAAACATACTTCAATAATCTTGAATTCATAAACACCACCACCCCAGATTCTCATCATAAAAAAACAATCATGGATCAAATTATGGATTTATCAGTCAAAGATACGACCTCGAAACAAGCGGAATTATTAACCATCTCAAGAATCAATAAACTCGTCCAGAATTGGAAATCCAATCATCCAACTACCGAAGCTGATTTCAATCCCGATGATGGTTCCATATTTCATCACAATCTAAAACTATTCGCCAGAGATAGGAGGAATCATATTTCATTCTTGAAAGAGATTCAAATCTTAACCAGTCGAACATTCCTTCTTTCTTATCGAGATTATCAAAGTCTATTAGTCCTAAACCTTGGATCTATCGTGGTTTCCATTACGGCCGGTTGGATGTTTTTCCGACCAAAACATGATCTTGCAGGTATAAGATCCTTAATATCGACCTTATATGTCACATTAGAAATGGTTGGATTTTGTCCTATGTATTTCGAAGTCGAAAGATTACATAATATCGATGGGAAGGTTTTTTATTCTGAATATCTGGAGAATTGGGTGTCAATTCCTGGATTTATAATTTCGAGAAGATTAGGAAAATTCTTAGTGGAGGATTTACCAATATCGATAATTTTCAGTGTTGTGACTTATTTCATGTGGGGATTAGATGGATTTGGGATATATTTTATAATTGTCATGATTGTTGAATTATGTTGTATGGGATCCTCAATGCTTTGTTTCTCATTAGCGCCTGATTTTGCCATTAGTTCATTGATTATTAATATCTTTTATCAATTACAAAATAGTGCTTGTGGATATTTTGTCAATGCTGAGACGATGCCGGTTTATGTTAAATGGACCAAATATATTGCTTATTTTTGGTATGGATTCGGTGCATTAACTTCCAATCAATTTACGAATTGGAAAGGTGATTGTCCATTTGATTCTGATGATATTCGATGTCAGGAATATACTGGTGAGTATCAATTGGCGATATTGGGATTTCCTACTGGATGGATCGGGGAACCTATTGGTATTTTGATTGGATGGATGATTGGATTCTTTGTCTTGTCCGGATTGGCATTCTATTTCAGATCTCATGATGTGGGTATGGCAAAGACAAGAAAGAACAAGATTGGTGGAGATGAAGATGAACATGAACAACATGAACATCAAACACAAATAACTGAAGAAACAACAGCGTTCACAGAAAAGGAAGACACTCCCAACAAGAAATTGGACTTTGAAATCAGCATCAACGACATTAATCTCCTGGTCAAACAAGGTACATTATTCAACAAGTCAAAACCATTCAAACCTCTCTTATGTGGAATAAATGCCACCTTCAAAGCAAACAAAGTCAATGTCATAATGGGTCCTTCTGGAAGTGGTAAAACCACATTATTAAACTACCTATCCAACCGATTATCGAAATCCTCAAAATATCAATCGCTGGGAAACATTTATCTCAATGATAATGAACTTCTAACCAGACAACAATTGAATAAACTTTCAGCATATGTCACCCAAACCGACAATTCCTTAATCGAAAACCTCACCGTTCGTGAAACCTTATATTATCAAGCTCGATTAAGACTACCTGAATCGGACCATCCCAATATCCCAAACATTATCAATCAATTAATCAGAAGGACTGGATTGGTAGATTGTGCAGAAACTCCAATCGGATCGGAATATTTGAAGGGTATAAGTGGTGGAGAAAAACGGAGAGTATCAATTGCAATTCAATTGCTATCTAGACCTAAGATTTTATTTTTGGATGAACCTACTTCGGGATTAGATTCAAGTACAGCAGAGACTATTTTGAGTTTATTGGATGAATTGGCGAGGGATAATCAAACCACGGTGATTTTAACTATTCATCAACCTAGTGAAGCTATGTTTTATAAATTTGGATCGTTGCTTTTGTTGAGTCGTGGAGGAAAAGTGGTTTATAATGGTTCTTCTAAGGGTATTATTAAATATTTGGGTGGATTGGGTTATCACACTCCTAAAGATGGGAATGTGGCTGATTATATTTTGGATTTAATTTCCAAAAGTGGTGATGAATCAAGTTTTGATTTTGAGTCGCGTATTGATAAATTAGTGAATAATTGGATCGTTAGGAATCAATCTCAACTTCATAATAAAAACGAAGAATTTAAAACTAGTGTTTCTGATTGCTATATTCGAAATGTCATTAATATCGAAGAATATTATCACAAGAGATTGCATTTCTTCATTACATTTCCAACTATTGTTAAACGTCAAATAATTACTTCATATCGTGCTAAAGATGTTGTCATTAGTCGTGCTGGTCAAACCATTTTTTTGACAATCATTCATACGTTATTTTTCACTCCATTAAGAAACACCCAAGCAGGTATAAGTAATCGATTAGGATTAATCCAAGAAGTGCTTAATTTATATTTCGCCGGTTTAGTGAATAATATTAGTTTGTATCCATTTGAAAGAAACTTGTTCTATCAAGAATATAAGGATGGAATATATGGAGTTGTTGAATTTGCTGGTTCATATCTCTTAAATGAATTACCAACTGAAATCATCCCCAGTTTTTTCTTTTCAGCATTAATTGTATTTGTTTGTGGATTACCTAGAACTCCTCAAATGTTCTTTGCCATGTTTTCAACTGCAGTGGTTTCGTTAAACTGTGGTGAATCTTTAGGTATACTTGTCAGTAGTGTCTTTAATCATATGGGAGTGGTAACTAATGTATTGGCTATGTTTGTCATGTTTGCTATATTTATGGGTGGTACTATGTCATTACATATGCCACAATTCTTTTGGGCTATGAATTTTATAAATCCAATGAAATATGCTGTTGCAATTTGTGCAAATTTGGGATTTGAAGACCAAATGTTTGAATGTAGTGAAGGATTGGATGAATGTGTATTCCAGACTGGTGAAGATGTTTTGGAGTATTATAATTTGCTGGCCGATATTTATTCTATGATTGGAGGATTGGTTGCATGTTTGGTTCTTTATCGTTTCATTGCGGTTAGTTCTATCTATGTTAGAGTCAAATGGTTCAATTAAGAGATGATTGTATATAGCGTATATCTTATTTATTTATTAGAAGCTTTTCTTAATTAATTTGCGTAATAGTTAATGGTTGATTGACTGCAGTGGTTGTAAAATAAAAACTTTGCAACCAAAAAAGAATCGGCTGTAAAAAATGATGACAAAATGATGACAAGTGGAAGAGTTACTGCAGAAAGTTAAAGCAGTTGTTGTTAAGCTCGGCTTGTAGGCTCAAACGGAAAGTATTGGGGGTTTGGTGATTCAGTAAGCTCTACTATAGGTGGTTTTCGTATTTAATCTACAGCTAGAAACCTGGAAGATATCGATAGAGTATCTTTCATGCTGAATGAGTTTATCTGCTGGGACCTACCGCCACACTCTCAGTCGGCCAAAAGTGTGTTAGTCGGCATGTTTTGATTTGAAACGGCTGATCCAAAGAGAATAGACGCTTTTTTGTGTCCACCTCTAGACTAAGCAATGGAACAGGACAAGTAGATCAAGTTATTAATAGAAAAACGAAGACATGAGCCTCACGGGGTAATTTTAGTGCAATTCCAATTCCAATTCCAAGTTGTAGATTTGTGTAATTTCCTTTGATTATGTAATCAAAATATCACTAAGAAAAAAGAAAATTGTTGCCACTTTTAAGATTTTTTATTTTTTATTGCGTTTTTGTTTGTTTTGGTTTGCAACAAAGGGAACAACTAAATTTATTTTTTAAAGATGATTCATTTGAAAAAACATACACACACACTTTACCACATACACAGGTTAAGAGAACTATATAAAACGGCTAGTATCACAATTAAGAATATTTTGTAAATGAGAGACATACATAGAGGTACTGAATGTTGAAGTTTCTTACTTTGAGAGGGTTTAATTATCGTCATTATACTTTAACCTAGTATAATTATGAAATGAATTCCCATGGCCATGTGTGTAAATCTAATGAATAAATAAATCATTTTCGCCTGGAATCTTTTGTGACACGCGTCAAAATAGTACATCTTTGTTTAGGTTCTTGGAATTTATTCTTCGATGCATACAAAATGGCATCGCATCCGGTTCCTCCTGAATATGTGGACACTACTGTACATTGTGATAACTAGATGAGTTCAATTTTGGTGGAAAAACCCCTCAATTCCTTATCAAATTTCTCTCGATAGTAGGCATGTTGATTTAACATTTATCTTGAACTGTATCAAAGGAGAGATATTAGAATGTTTAAATAAAGGTTCCGTAAACTAACAACTGGTACAAGTGATGAGTTAAGTTACAATTGTACCAAAAAAAAAATATTAAAAATAAAAAATTATTTTTAAATTGATTTAGATTTTATTTATTTATTTAATTACCACAATTTTTAACACATTTTCTAAATTGTCTTTATAGTATCAATTCCTAGTTTGTTGTAGTTGGTTGGTTGGTTGGTTGGTTAGTTGAACAATTACACGCTTTTTTAAAATTTATTATTTATTATTTTAAACTTTTCATAATAAAAAAATAATTTTTTTTTTTTCAAAAAGCTCCTTAAATTATTTATTTATTTATTTCTTAAATATTTCTATTCTTATCTTTTTTTTTATTTTCCTTTTCTCTTTCTTTCTTTCTTTCCTTTTAAAGATCATCCAATAAAACTACAATGTATTCTTATACTATTAATTGGTATGTATTACTACTTGCTACCGCTACTTAAGTCGTTGGATTGATGTTTGACTCTGTGTTATTTTAACTCATTATACACAAATTGACAGAGACAGATAAGCAACAGGGGAAAAAAAAGGGCAGCCGTTTCTTTTGATTTAGAATTATCCCTTAAAATATTTCAATTTGACTCAATCCCCTCCTTTTGTAAGACACAACATATACTAACAATTATATAGGCCATCCGTTGATGGTAGTATTAAATCCATTCAAATTACTGGTAATTTCGATAATTGGTCTAGATCAATTCCTGCAAAGACAGATTTAGATCATGGTTATAGCCAAGAAATTAAAGTTGCTGATAAACAAAATATTGTATTCAAATTTATCATTAATGATAATGATTGGATTACTAATGAACAATTCAAAATTGAAACTGATGAAAGTGGTAACTCAAATAATATAATTGAAGCTGATGAATTGATTGAAGAACAACCAGAACAAGAACAAACAAAGGAAGCGGCAATTGTTGAAGAACAACCAAAGGAAGCTGCAATTGTTGAAGATCAACCAAAAGAAGCTGCAATTGTTGAAGAACAACCTGAAGAACAGCCAGAAGAAGAATTTGTTGAGCCAGAAGTTGAAGAAGAAGAAGAACCAGAAGAAGAGCCAGCTGCTGAAGCTATCAAAGAAGCTCCAGTTGTTGTTGAAACTCCAGAAATTGAAGAACCAGTTCAAATTGATTCAATCAAATCTCCAAAATCTTTTGCTACTGAAGAAGACATCCTTTCCGATTTTGATGATAAAGTAGCTCCAATCTCTGCTCTTGGTGCCGCCGGCGTCACTGCAACAGCTGCTGTTGCTGCTCCACAACACTTATCTCAAGTGTTAACTTCCTCCTCTTCATTTGCTGCAGTTTCATTACCTCCATCTTCTTCTGAATATGAAAATGTCCATCCCGAAGAAGAAGAAGAACAACCAGAACAACTAGTAGAAGATCAAGAATCAAATGTCCCACCAACTACAAAATCATCTGCTGATAAGAATAATGATGAATTCACATTATCTTCAAATACTCCAGCCACAACCACCACCCGTCCAGTTTCTTCAATTCAAGATGTTAAACCAGCCTTACTTTCCAAAACTTCCGAATCTACCCTTCAAGCTAAAGTTGAAGATAAGACTACTTCTTCTTCTGGTGATTTTAAGATTCCAGGTGGATATCCAACTAGTCCAGAAGTTGGATCGGCTGCTTCTTCAACTACTGCCGCAAGTCCAAAGAAGGAAAAAACTGCAGTTAGTAAAAGAGGTAATCTTATTTCAAGATTTAAGAGCTTATTCAGATGACTATTTGGCTGGACTGCTCAATTTCCTTCACAATTTGGTAAATATCTTTCCCTTGAATAAATTTAGTTCATAATTAATTAATTAATTAACGTGTTTTTTTATATTTTACTTTGATAGAGAAACTTGGGATAATAATAATAATTGAATGAATGAATAAGTGGAGAGATGTTGTTCCCTATCAGAAGGAAGGGTGGTCGAAGCAACCAACAACCCCCCTGCCCCACTCACCATGTGGTGTTCTTGTGTATTTGTGTGCTTGTGTGTGTGTATTTTTTTTTCTTTATTGGTGGTATGAAATGTTTAGATTGTTTTAGCTTCCTTCGCTGTTTATTATTATTAAGTTTATTTAGTTTTGTAGATTTTCTCTAATATATATTGCTGTAAGTGTTTTTTTGGTAACATGACTTTATACATTATACTATCCCTTCTCCTATATGCCTAATACTACAACTATATAACATCTACTCAATTCTTCTTCTTTTTCTTCTTATTCTTCTTCTTTGAAGCACCAGCACCTCCCTCCTTCGCTACCAAAGGACTACCTTCCTTCTCAACCCTTTGTTGTTCCTGTTTAATAACCTCAGGCACGGGAGTTCCTTCATCCTCAGTAGCCTCATATTTCACATTCGTCATCAAACTACTCAATCCCAAAACATGTAAATTATTAGAATCATGAATTCCTCTAGGTCCAATAAAATTTAAAATCTTGGATAATTCTTTGATTTTATATGTGGAATATTTGATACATTTCCCAGTATGTGGTTCGAAGAGTTTAAAACTGACGGAATGGCTTGCTTTCTTTGTTGGTTGTTTTTTCTTAATACTGGAGTCACCTTCTTTGGTTGATTGCTTCTTTTTGGCAATGTTGGAATATGTTATTGATAAGGTTGTGGTTGTGGGATATGTTGCCAATAAATCAGATGACAATTGTATGAATGAATCTATATTTGATATCTTTGGCATTGTATGATTTATCTNATAAAGCTTTTCTGATGTCTATTGGTTTACCCAAGTAGTTGTGCCAGTAAGTTGTGAAATTATAAATGTCGATTAAATTTTTCTCTATAAATTAAATTTTACAGTTTAACATGAAGAAAAGTTCAAAAAGAGAAATTACAAATTTTTTACATATTAGATAAATAACCTGTAAAACAAATCTATCTATATTTCACAGCAGTACCCTTCTCTCTTCTAGCTTGTAACTTTTGTTGACGTTTAGAAGTACCACTTGATTGTTGCTGCTGTTGTTGTTGTTGATCTTCACCTACAGCTTGTGCATTACCTTTTCTGTTTAATAAAAATGGACTAACAATTCCATATAATTTATAAATTACAAATCCAGGAATAATTAAATATAACCACCAAATTTTATTACTTCCAATTACAATCATCAAAATATTAAATCCCCAAGTCAAATAAACAACATCGAAGAAATATTCAAACAATCCCCCAGATTGATGAATATCATCACCGGATCTAATTAATTTTTGGACTCCACTACCCTCGGTCACATATTTTGGTCGACCTGATTTTTCTAAATTATATTCAATTATAAAACTTGGTATTGATAATATTAACCATGGTTTATATGATGATGGACGTTTGAATACAAATATTACAAAAATTGAAATGACGTTGATTATGAGGGTTATTAAATGAAGTTGGTTTAATGTCTTGGTGTTGGCGACTGCCAATTTCTTTGTACTTCCAGATGCCATTGTCTAATGATGTCCTTCTCTATGGTGATTGAAACTTGTGACCAGACTTGATTTTTTTTTTGGCTTTTGACCGACGAAAGCGAGCAATAAATTCGGAGTTGATAGAAGAGGTAGTGTAAGGATCAATTCTGACCAAAAGTTCATTATGAGGTAGATAAAGTCAACCTTCAAGGAATTAAGTCATTGGCTTGAACCAATTGGCTGTTTAGATGCTAGCTCATCGTTTATAGATGTTAGATTTATCACATCTTATAATTGTATCCCCTTTCCAGGAATTGTCAATTCTTAGCCACGCTCCACATATGTGGCTGCAAAAAATTGATAGCATCCATCCTAAGCACTTCTTTGAGTATGGGCAAGAATAGGTAAGAACAGTTTATATCTTGAAAGCAACCTGATATAGTCTTAGACAAAATGTTTCTCAAGTATCTTATTGATGCTTCTAAAAAATTCAAAGAAAATGAATGTCAACGGAAGACTAAGCTCAAAGCTTTTGCGGTGGAAGGCGCTATAATGTTCTAAAATATCCCTTTGTTTGGACGATTCGTAAGTTGATCCAATCATTTTGGTTCAAAGTTTATGAATTTTAAAGAGTCCTCCAGTGTTTGACCTACCTAGCATCTTCTCAGCACTTCTGAAAACATGCGCGGGCAGATCTTATATCATCTATCAATGATACTCTACATTACACTTTACGTTTATAATTCAAACTCTTAATATTGACCTATACATTCAAACAACCTTGTTTACTTGTCATGGTGATCACGGAGATCATCTATGACGCATATGATCGTAGAAACAATGGAAATTATTAAAAATTACTACTATACAAAATATCATGCGCCTAACGTACACATAGAGATGCACCCTCAGAATCTGTCTACTTCTTTTTGGCTTGTTCCTTTGGTAATTGAATCTTACTAATATATTTCCCAATCACAAGACTCTTTAATTGTTCATATTTAGGTAAATAAGCAGGGAATCTAGTAGATAATAATTGCTTAGCCTTCATATCAAATTGATCAATTACTGCTTTGGTATATTGATTAGCATCATATCTAAACTTATTAAATGCTAATACAACTCCAAAGACAACAAATCTAAATAAAGTGGTAATGATATCCCATTTAATTAATAAATTGATTAAAACAGTTGGAATTAATTGAAATCCACAAAGTAATAAACACATGATTTCTGCATTTGATGCAGCAACTAAAGCTGGTTGATTATAAGTTTGAGTAAATCTATTAATCATTGAGTTTAATTTTTGTTGAGCAGCAATACTAGATGGTAAAACAATTGGTAATAAATGGTTTTGGAAATAATTCAAAATATGGAAAATTGCAAAAATTATAAATGAATAAAGACTACCTCCAATTATTCCTATTTTAAAACTGGTTAAATAAAATACCACGGCTAAACTTAAATATTGAACATTTTCATCACGTAATAATCTTATTGAAATTACTACTGATTTTCTAAAATATAATTGTTTAATAACAATTATATAAGTGATTATAATTGATAATAATGTAAAACGATAATATGTTATTGATGAACGTGGATTCCAAAATCCAGTAATAGTACTCAACAAGAAAAATAATACAGCAAACACATGACCTAAGAACCAATAGAATTGTTGTGTCTTTGCTAATGTGATCAATTGTTGTAATGGAGGTTGTTGTCTAAGGGGAGTGCTATTGGCATTTGATGCGGTGTTGGAAGACATCTTTGGATGGCAAAGTTCGAAATGTTCGGAATCAAGGGGGGGTTACTAACAATCTAAATTAATTAGCTTCTTAAATTAGTTCAATTGGAAGGGTTATCTAATTATTGTATCCAACTGATAATGAAAATTCCAATAACTTTTGTTAAATTTAAAAGGAGAAGAAAATTTAATGTGTTAAATTATCAGGGCTCCTTTTTTTCTTCATTGATTGTAGATCCAAATCAATTGATGAAAGAATCCTTTAGAAAAATAAAGAAGCAAAAAAATCAAAATCAAAACAAAGGTCGTGTGAGTTGTCTAATCTCAACACCACATAAAAAAAATTGCTGCAAATTTGGCGCATTATTAATTTGCAACTACTCAACTCCCTCATATTCTATGCAAAAGCTTTATAACAAAACTTTAAATTAAAGTATTATAAACTATAAATTAATTAAAATATTAAGAAACAATTGACAGTTAATGAAAAATTGTTATAGAAATGAATAAATACTAACAAAAAAACAAATATTAATTAAGGGGAAGTCATAAACTGTCATCAAAATCATGCAATACAAATCATATTCCATTGACACTCAATGGAAAATCAAAAAGCACCCAACTAAACTTCTTCTTCGTCTCTAACTGCAGGAACACCGGCTGGAGCAACAGCAGTATCACCGGAGTGTCTTGGAGTAGTGTCAAGTTCCTTTTCTTGTGCTGGAGAGGCATCTCTTCTACCGAAGTGACCGAGATTTCTGAAAAATTCTTCATCAACGTTACGAACAGCAATCCAAGTTAAAATGGTTGGGAGAAGACCAAAGTTAATTAAATCCAAGATACCATAGAATACAGCTTCTGAATCTGGTTGGATAACATTACCACCTTCAGATAAACCCCAACAAATTGGATACAAGACCCAAACAACAATAGCAAAGATAATAAGGAAATTACCAAATGTTGACTTTACAGTTTCACGTAATGAATAGTGAAGATCAACACTAACCAAATAAATAACAAACAATAAAGCAAACACACCGAAAGTGAAATAACCCCACTTATAAGATGATTCAATCAAAGCACCAATCAATAAAGCCAAGACAAAAACTTCAATAGCCAAAAACTTAGTAAATAAGCCCAGGAAAAGTGAAATAAATCTGGAAATTAAATCAGTGTCATCATTAGCAGTCAAATGAGTATGAGTGGTGACTTCAAATACAGCCAAAACCAATGGCCATGCCAAGAACCAACCAATAAACTTGGAATAAAAGATTTGTCTAACACCAGTACCTGCATGGGTAAATTCAACAGGAATACCAGTGTTACCTAAATTGGAAGCATATGTATAATATGCATATGTCATAACTGCATTGGTAAATAATGGAATCGTCAACAATGCCTTCTTAAGCCCACTCTTTCTAACACTAGTTAAACTATACATAAACCCATGAGCAACCATGAGCACACCAAAAACAGAAAAGGCAGCCCATAACCAACTACTACCATGTTCTGTAAGATGGATATTGATATCTGCAGCAGGGGGGTTAATATTGACAGCGGTGTTACGCTTAACTAATTCGTCAATGTACATTACTTATTAATAATAAATTCTAAAAATCGTGTTTTGTGAAAAGTTGCAAAAATTTCTGTGTGAAGGAAATTAATCTAATGATGTAATAAAAATAAAAAAGAAAGAAAACAGAAATCTAAATATTTCAATTGGAAATAGGGGTAGTTTCAACAGATATTTATACCCCATTGAATCTTCTCCATTCAGAAGTTGATCATGCAAATAGCAAGTTCAAAGTAATAAGGGTTAAATTAATCAGTTCATTAGTAATTGGCTTTGGTGGGCCAGCAACCGAACTTAACTCCTGATTACCCAAATGCAAAAAAAAATTATTTTTTAGGTAAATAATTAAGAAAAAATTTAGACATGATCACGCACATGTCAAAAATAAAATTTAATCCCGTTCTATCCTTAATTTTCCGGTAAGAATTCTTTTACTTTCCTTACTATTCTACAATAATGATTCATTATTATTTTGGTTTAGCCGTGCTTTCCTATGTCCCCTCAGTTTTAAATCAAAGAAAAATCTCTCCACCTGATCCATTGTGATTACAAACGTTTTCATGTTTCAATTTCTTTGGGAACTACATTGATCACCAAATCTTATGTTCTAGATGTAATTGTACTGCCTTAGGGATGGCTTCCTAAAGTGGTGGGTGCAGGATACATAATGCAGAACTTGTATCACGTCAAATCGGTAACATAATCCGTTTTGCAAATCACCAGGCATGACTCACGGTGGAATTGGATTTTTTTCGGGAAAGCAAAATGTCAATACGGTAGTTACGGATGCAAAAAAAAAATAAGGATACTTGTAAAAACCACACAATGCAATAAGTCATCAAGATTCTTCAAGAATAATGACTCGTGTAGAATTTTTTTAGAAATCACGAGAGAAATGGTTTATTAATGTTCAACTCGGTGAATAATACCGGAATGTTTCGACCATATCCTTATTCGGCCTTTGTCTTGAATAATAAACATCCGTATCATTCTATCCGCGTTAATTCGGAACCGTTCATACGTACGGATCTGCAGGTGTCAAACATGATATAATACAAGTGACATCGCTTCTACATATCTTGTCGGTCCCCATCATCCGATGATATCCTTTTCAAACATTTCTCCAACGGATATGTCAGTGGTGAGCAGCCTTTCTCTTTAGCCGTAGCCTTGCCGTGTGTATCACAAATCAAGAATCACTTTTGAAAAATATAACGGTCAAACTTGGAGAAAAAAATATCGTGACAATGGAACTATTCGGAAAACGCGCATGGACTATGACAATAGTCAATATCATACGATTCCACCTAGATCATACAATGGCTTAATAAACCTTTTCAGTATGTTTCGTATCTCGGCTAGGATGTTGATTTAGAGGAAGAGTTTGAATGATGGCGATCAGCATGAGTGTAGTCATTCTGCGTATTTTTTGTCGGCACAATTCGGGATGACTCAAACCGAGCAAATTTGCTACCGTTTCAAAATATTCGTAATCTGCTTGATGGGAATCTCGGATTGGATTTGTTTACACATCTGCAATTGAATCTAATATGAATAGTTGCTACTTGGGAGACTTTCGGTGTTTGTGCTTGAGTGTCTCAATATCCGTGGTAGTGAGTTGTTTCAACCTTTTTAGTAGCGCATCTTCCATAACCAAATTGATTGTCGTATGATCAACATTCTTGAAAACTAAGAGCTGTGTCTTTCGGACAGAGGTCTTTGTGTAAAGCTGTGGCTTTCGGACAAATCTCGCTGTGTAAAGCTGTATCTTTCGGACAAAGGTAGTTGTGTAACTGTTCCATATCAACTTCATTTGGTTCCTATGGGGAACATGATGAGAACTATTTTTAGGAGTTCTTGTGTCCAATTGGTAGTGTGTTTTTCTCTTTGGCAATAAACTCTGTGTCTTTATACAGTTACTTAACATATGATAGTTTCTAACTCGGGGTAAATAGAGGTTTTCGATCCCAATTGAATCTACCAGAGTAGTTAGTTACTTGCACAAATAAAAAGCTTTTGTTAGTCGCAAAATTGGGGGTTTTGATTTTGCAGCCATTCTCCTACCCCTTAAAATGATACAGACAAAACGTATTTTAAACACTATAATATATAAATTAATTAGACTAAAAAAGCAATTGACAGATCTGTCATAATAGAAGCTTAGAAATAAATACAAAACCGATAGAATTAAGGCATGCATTTACTGAATTTTTCCCACCTAAACTTCATCAACAGCAGTAACACCAGCTGGAGCAACAGAAGTGTCACCAGAATGAGTTGGGGTAGTATCAATTTCCTTTTCATTTGCAAGGGGAGAAGCATCACAATAGTGGCAGAAGTTCTTAAAAAATATCTCATCAACATTACCAATAGCAATCCAAGTCAAAATGGTAGGAACAATACCAAAATTGATTAAATCTAAGATTCCGTCAAACACAGCTTCTGAATCAGGTTGGATAACATTTCCACCTCCAGATAATGCCCAACAGATTGGATATAAGATCCAGACGACAAGAATAAAGATAATGAGGAAGTTACCAACTTTTGACTTGGCTGAATTTTTGAATGAATGGAAAAGATCAGCACCAACCAAGAAGATAAGGGATAATAACCCAAATACACCAATGGCAAAGAACCCCCATTTATAAGTTGACAAAACAACCGATCCAACCAAAACACCCAATACGTAAACCTCAATAGCGACAATCTTAATAAATAATCCCAGGAAAAATGAAACAAATCTTGAAAGTATACCACGGTTACCAGTAGCAGTTAAATCTGGATGAGTTATGACTTCGCAAGTAGCCAAAACCCATGGCCAAGCCAAGAACCAAGCAATAATCTTAGAATAGAAAACTTGTCTAACACCAGCATCTGCATGGGTAAATTCAACAGGGACACCAGCATTACCCAAATTGGATGCATAGATGAAATATGCACCTGTCATAATTATAGTCGTAATTAAAGGACTTATGAATAATGCCCTCTTAACTCCATTGGTTTTAATATACATAAAGGCATTAACTACCATAAGCAAGCCGAAAACAGAAAAAGCAGCAAATAACCAATCACTACCATGTTCCGTAATATGGATATTAACACCCGGAGCATTCGCATTGACATCAATAGCAGTGTTACGTTTAATAAATTCTTGAACGTACATAATTAATTATTAATAATTCAGAAAAATTTGTATTGTGAAAATATAGTTGCAAAATTTTCTTATATGGAAATATAATGATAAAATTTTTAGAAAAAAAAAGCAGGAGAAATAGGGGTAAGCTTCCAGAGGTATTTATAGCCAAAGGATTAATGTATCTTGGTAAGCCGTAATGAAATAGACGTCTGTTTTTGAGTATGGCTAGGAAAACGGAATAAACACCTGGTTGAAAAAATAAATTTTGCGGCAATTTTACATGATCTTACATAGACCGGCAAATTAAAGCCTTTTTGATATTGATTAACCAACTATTTACAAAACAATGGTATTCAATTGAGGCTTTGTCGTATTAACTGTTTGCATACCAATTGGGTCCTTGCTCGTTATGTTGTGTAAGTTATTATAGATAAGAGATGGAATAGATGCCATCATCTGAATGAAGAGCAACGTTAAGAAAAAAATTCGCTCGTTTAGTGTTTTAGCTATCGGTAATATAGTTACTATTTTTTGGTCAGCCGTTCCATCTCAACCTTAATCCCTCATTTCCAGCTAATATCGTCCCACTTATTTCCCCTTTGATGTTCGAAAACTTTTTTGTGGAGATGATGACACAAAATCTCAGACGATTGTTGCAAAAAAATATTAAGCTTCTGAATAGCCGCGCATCAGAATCGGTCGACTTTTTAAGGTACGATGGCCGTAATTACTTTTATAGAGGGTTTACAACTGATTTCTGCGTTAAAAATATATATCTTATGGTCGGTTATTTATTCAAAAGAAACAGCAGTAACGACGGACTTTGCCTGTATTTTGTGCATTGGAATGCATACTCATTCCGGTAAGTGGGTCTAGTACTTTTCAATCGATAGGCATATCATACGAACGCACTTCATTCAAATAGCCCCGGGACCAACAAATCTCTCTGAATTCTTTAAGTAATTGCAACTCTCTGACCTTGTCTTAACTGCTCTAGAACAGAATCATTAATCTGACCATGTGAATCACAAATCAAACATTTCAATTTCTTTGAAAAATAAAATGGTACGACAGGAATGAAAAACAACGTGACACAATATATTGAACGGACCGGGAAAGCAGATTGATTATGACAATGGCCGCAATAACATGCGATACCACCTATTTCTGGTAATGGCTTAGTAAACTCTTTAACTATTCGGAATGTCGGTTAGTAATATGGTTTGCATCGTATGTTCGGAAATCATTATACGTCTGGAGTCACTTGCTTATAGTCGCTTGCATATTTCCTCTCGGGAACGATTCACCATAATTCAGAATCGTTCCGGGTCCTCAGTTCAACAGCTTTGTCATCTTGATGACCCTTCTGATCGCCTCGGGTTAAATACGTCGTGTAGTAATCGGTTATTGATGTCATAATGGAATTTAGGCTCGACTATATCAGATCATCATCGGCAATAGGTAATATCCGGGGAATGTACGCTCGTTTCCAAATTGCCTGATTCCTAAAAATTGAAAATTGATTATACATACCTCCAAATATAAAGAACATTTCTAATAGTTACTAAGCTTTTGGTGTCTGTTATTAAGTGGTTCTCTTGTATTTGGTAAAAAGAAGTATATTGAAAGCAGTAAAATTTCACTGAAAATAAGTTTTCTTTTCAAATGGCCCAGATACTTAAACGAAATAAGCGACCCCTTAGTTCATTTTTATATTCTACACCGCCAAGACAATGGAAAAGCTCATGTATCTCCGTGCGCAGTGATTAGACTTTACAGCAAAGTAAAATTAATGGCTCGATCTACGTGTTGGGTCGTATTTAGTAGTAATTGTTTGCAGTCTAGTTGAAATTCTCGTTTATTATGTATTTATTTTGTAGTTCAGTGCTAAAGCTTCGATGACTCTCATAAATCTGAATACCAGGCAATTTTCACAAATGTTAGAGAACACCGAAGTCAGAAGACACTAAGAAAAACTAAAGAAAAGCTAATCACATTCATTGAGTCCATACAACAATCTCTAAAATTTTAATCTTAATTTCCCGTCTTTTAAAAAGTCTAATTATTCAGCACTCTCGCCTCGCCAGTCACCTATGCCTCTTCCATAATTCCCCAAATAATTATCTAACCAATCATAACTGGTTGTCCCTGTCGTAATCGATCAATAGCAGTATCATCAATTTGTCCATTCGTACCACAAATTGAACATTTTAATCTCTTTGTGAAATAAAATGGTAAAACTGGGATGAAGAATAATGTAACGCAATTAATTGTCCTAATAGCATATGCTGATTGATTATGACAATGGTTACAATAGCAAGGAATGTGTCCTACGTCTGGTAATGGTTTATTGAATTCTTTGACTAGATTTTCTTTGTTAGTATGTGTTTGATGTTGTTTGGAATCTGAATGAATCTGGTCGCTTTCGCACGGGATGATTCGGAATACCTCATAAAGCTAGGATATCAACTCAATTACCTATTAATTACACAGCATGAGACTCTGAAGGATAATTTGACTTGAATCTGACATCTAGCAACTGACTGTTGACATTCAATGGACCCCTAAAGATGGCATACATTCTCAGAATTGTCTCGATGGCAAAAGCTTCCATTTGACATTATCGATTGAATATACTTACATCCAATAAGAAAGAAACAGAAATCCATTCTTTATTAGCCAATAGTATCTTATCAATTCTTCCTGTGGAGGATGAGTAATCTCCTATTTCTGAATCAGAATGCTAAAAGAAGGCTTATATAGTTTAAATAGCAACAAGGCACACAAAAAAAATTGTTAGATCCTAGGTGAGTCTTGTACTGCATATAAATCGAATGAATAGTAGCTTGGCAACTATACATATTCCAGGCTGAGGTCATAACGGAAGAAAGACACTGATACTTCCTTCCTATCTGATATTAATGTCTTTTCTTCTTCTTGAGAAGAGTGATGGTTGGCTAGTGGACTATTTTTATTGATTTACAACCAAGGTACATCGGCAAGCAGTAGCTCTTATAAGTGAACATTGGGAAGCGGAGAGGAGTTCCGTTTCCTTGCAATTGGGATTACAGAACTAACAAGAAAATCAATAATTTTAATACAAGTGATGGAGTCACAGTTGACATTTAGTATCAGGAATTGAATAGATCTAGGTAGAAGAAAATGGGAAATCTTCGAGAATCTTTCGATGAAAAGTTGCTTACTAACAATGAAGTCCCAGTTAGATTGACATAAGTCGACTTTAGAATGGTTAAGTATTCCTAGACTTAAAGAAACTGATCATATTAATTTTCAGCCTCACTCTGGTATCATTCCTTAGGTAAAATTTTACGTGGAAGAAGTGATTGTCTCTGGACGCTTTAGTAACTTCTTTTGAATTAGCTTGTTTTCATATTTGGTCTGAGGTAATTTCATCAAAGAAGAGTTAATTTTCTAATATTTGTGGTATAATTGTTCAATTGGTCAGGCTAAGGGCAAAGTCTTTTCCGGTCTATTTCAATATTTGAAGGAATCATTGTTTATGGCTGCAAAAATGATTTGCGGCTTTTTCTACCCCTTTCAACCAATAAAGGCGGAATTCCCCGAGGAATCTTTACTATTGGAACATCTGCTCACTCATTGGTCGTGTGATAAAAAGTTGCCTTGAAAATTAGAAGAACAATCAAAATATTATAATTGAATAACACTATTTGAATAGGTTTAATTTAAGTGGAAACGACCACTTTCCTAATTGGGAAACACACGTGCTTTCCGCCCGCAACGTTTTTGATTTTGTGGTTCATAACCAACAGTCTAGTTTTCTGTTTTGGATTATCTGACCTAGTAGACGTTATTAAGGAGTTAAAGAATGTTTGGCGAATGGTATTACTTGATAGTATTCACATATTGTAATGCCCTATGAGTAGTGATTATTAATAAAAAGGTGATGAGTTTGAGTCAAAGATTTTAAAGAATAAAATTAATGCTTAAAAAATATTTCAAAACTTTCGTTAATACAAATTTATTTTTCTTAGTGTTTTCAATAGAAGAGAAGAAATGGCCACTTTTTCAAATCCAACAAACTTGATCCTTTCTATTGTTCTTAAACGCCTTTGTATCTGTACTGCTTCTGTTGTCTGGGTATTCGTATATTGCTATTAATATTCCAATAGTTATTGCAGGATTCTTTATCTAGGTCCATTACTTGCTTGCTTTGTGTCGTGAGTTACAATGTATTCTTTAACAAAAACTTTTGCGTCTCTTTATTAAAATTTCATGAGCCCAGTAAAGCCTTTCGAATTTCACTTTCAGCTTTTAATCTCCTAATTGAATATCAACTTTTCCTATTCAAACGCCGAATACTTAAATAGTTTAATTATCCTCAAGTATCAAAACTAAGCTTTATTTGAGTTTCTTCAGCCATTTCTTGTCTAAGAAAATTTTTAACACTTTTTTTAGAAGAGAAAGAGAGACACCAAGTGGTGTTAGTTGTAAATTTAAAATACAAAGAAAAAAAATTGTTTTGCCAATTTTATTTACAACAAGGAGACAACAATTTTTAGCAACAGATTTACTAACCTTTTACCAACCTCCCACCAAACTAGTAAGCTACCGAAGCGTTCTTATATACCATCTGTATAACCTTGCATTCCCTTATTTGACTATTGCTATATTTACACCTGAACCATCTTATTGCTGTTACAGCCCACCCACGCCCCAGAAAATAGAAGATTTGAACATTAAATGAAGTTCTCCCATTCCTTACAATTCAACGCGGTACCGGAATGGTCTTCCAAGTATATTGCCTATACAACTTTAAAGAAGTTAATCTATTCCTTACAACGAGATAGTTTAAGAAGAAGTCATGAAGGAGCAGAAACTACTGATTTCGAAGCTGCTAATTTATTATCTGATGGATATGCTTCAACTGGTCAACTAGGAGAAGGAGAAAGTGCCACTACTGTATTTATTGCTGCTCTTGATGCCGAATTAGCAAAGATCGATTCCTTTTATCAACAGCAAGAAACCTTTATTTTCAAAAGCATTGATGATTTAATGATTGACATCGAACATTTTGAACAGGAAATCGATGCATCATTATCCTTAGCAAAGGGATTCAGACCAAGAGGTAGAGCTGTATCTGATCTTTCACCCGATCAGCTTCTTACTACTGACCCAGATACTGAATTTACTCAAGCCGAAGAAGAAGAAATTGGAGATATAAGTGGAGACGAAGATGCTGAACCTCAGGTTCCAAGATCTAGATTTTCTTCAATGCCAAATATCGGACCTCAAGCTCATACTTTGGCCCACTCTCGCTCTATAGATGAATACCTCAAATCACCAACTTCTCCACAAATTTGGAATAATTTGAATCAATTTTCAAGTACAACTAATTTACCTCCTCAATTAATTTTATTAAGTGAAAGTAGAATTATTTTAAGAAAACGTATCATTGGTTTATTCACAACTTTATCAGAATTGAAATCTTATATTGAATTAAATAAAACTGGGTTTAAAAAAGCATGTAAGAAATTTGATAAATCATTAAATACAAATATTAAAGATGAATATTTAGAAAATTTACCTAAAAATTCATATACTTTTCAACCTTCAACTATGAAAAAAGTGGATGATCGTCTTGACGCTTTGATTAAACTTTATGCATTAGTTTGTAATCATGGGGATGACTTAGAAACTGCCAAATCTGAATTATCGGTTCATTTACGTGAACATGTTGTATGGGAAAGAAATACCGTTTGGAGAGATATGATCGGTTTAGAAAGAAAATCATATGCGGCTAATTCTCAATTAGTTGAAGGTCGTGATAGAATAAGAGAAAAGAATGAAGATCTTAGAGATAGTGGTAAATTAAAGCAACAATTTAATTTATCATTGAAAAACCCAGTCATTTTAAAATTCTTAATTATTTCAGCCATAACGATAACTTTACTTAATCTATCTCCATTTAGTGATAAAGCTCAAAAGAATTGTTTTGCCTTGTTAATATGTGCATCATTACTTTGGGCTACTGAAACTATTCCATTATTTGTCACTTCCTTATTGATACCGTTATTAATTGTCAATCTAGAAGTTATAAAAAATGATGATGGATCCATTATGGAAGCTATAGATGCATCGAAGTTTATTTTATCAACCATGTGGAATTCGGTTATTTTGTTATTATTAGGTGGTTTCACGTTAGCAGCTGCATTATCTAAATATCATATTGCTAAATTGATATCTACTTGGATTCTTTCAAAAGCCGGTACAAATCCATCCGTAGTATTATTGACTATTATGGGAGTTGCCCTTTTTGCATCAATGTGGGTTTCTAATGTTGCAGCACCAGTGTTATGTTTTTCATTAATCCAACCATTATTAAGAACATTGCCTAAAGGATCACAATTTATTAATGCATTAATTTTGGGTATTGCTCTTGCTTCAAATATCGGAGGTATGGCATCTCCAATCGCTTCTCCACAAAATATGATTGCTATTGGATCAATGGATCCACAACCTTCATGGGGTCAATGGTTTGTTATTGCTTTACCTGTCTGTATTTTGTCATTATTATTAATTTGGATTTTCTTGTTGATTACATTTAATTGTAATTCAAGAAACACTCATTTAGTTGCAATTAGAACCATTGATGATAGATTTTCTGCTATTCAATGGTATATTATTTCAGTTTCAATTGGGACTATTTTCCTTTGGTGTATTGCTTCTAAATTAACTGGTATATTTGGAGAAATGGGTATTATTGCCTTAATCCCAATTATACTTTTCTTTGGATCTGGATTATTAACCACGGAAGATTTTAATAATTATCCTTGGAATATTGTCGTTTTAGCAATGGGTGGTACTGCATTAGGTAAAGCCGTTGCCTCATCGGGATTATTAGCAACCATTGCCGTTACAATCCAACATCAAGTTGAAGGCTTTAGTTTGTTTGGAGTTACTTTAACTTTTGGATTATTGATTTTAACAATGGCTACATTTGTATCTCATACTGTTGCAGCCTTGATTATTATTCCATTAGTTAGTGAAATCGGTAATGCTATGCCAGAACCTCATCCAAGATTATTGATTATGGCAAGTGCTTTATTATGTTCAGCAGCCATGGGTTTACCAACCTCGGGATTCCCTAATGTTACTGCAATTTGTATGACTGATGAATTTGGTACCCCATATTTAACAGTTGGTACATTTATTACAAGAGGTGTACCAAGTTCAGTCATTGCATATATAATGATTGTTACTATTGGTTATGCCACTATGAAAATTATCAATTTCTAAAGGGGTAATAAAAAATCAGGGAAAGCAAAAATATAAAAGAGAAATTATGTTTATAATTAGTATATACGAGATTGTTTTAATTTAATAGATGTATTATGGGGTTGATTGGAAAGTCCGTTGTAGATTCTACAATAGCCGAATGGCTTTTCGTATCTGCGCTGGAGAACCCCTTTTTTTCGGGGGTCCTTCTGGGGTCAAGTAGGCAGCGAGGGTAGTAGGAACGCCGACCTGGAAATTTTTTTTTTAGTTCGGTGCCGTATAATTTGCCTCATCCCACCGCGTGATGAAATGGAAAAAAATGAGTCTCACAAACCCCTCGCATCAACTGGCACGATTTCACACATCTTGTCTGAGATTTTTTTTTCTCTCTCTGCATTTCTGAGATCTTTACATGTGATGTCCCGTTGAAACCGGTGATAATAGACCAAACAAAGTCAAAAGTGGATCGATTGAAAGGCTTATTCCTAAACTTATTGTTCTTGGTATTTTGACACTTTCGAGACCAGATTGTCACATTCCTAAAATCTTCATATTAATTTCATGAGTGTCTGGGAACAATTGCGATTATTAATCACTAACCAAGATCTCACTACTCAAACATCTGCAATTGCTATTACTCAAAGAACTATTCCAAGATCCGAATACATTCCGGACTTTTTGTTACGTTATTGGTATACTAAAACTCCACAACAACAACGATCACTACTTCTACAGCTTGTATTATTATTTTCGATATCTTTTTATATCGTTTCTCCATCATTGCCATTATCCAGAAATAAAGACAAAATGTTCACCAAACGTCCTGATAAACATACAACAGGGTTAATCAACTTGAGAAATGATTGTTTTGCGAATTCATCACTTCAAGCATATTCGTCATTGCCAGCATGGACCGAATATTTAAATGAATTCATTCATAATTTTAAGAAATTAAAGAAATTCATGAATGATCGGAATATTGATATAAATGAAATAATTAAATTACGATTAGAAAGAAATCCAAGTTTAAAACATTCAAAATTCAAATTGGCAAATTCTAAGTTTGATATTCCTTTACATTTTGCCATGGCACAAATTATAAAAAAATTACAAGAGACTCAATTATCTTCTAGAACAATTAGTGTTTGGACATTCTTACATGAATTAGAAGGGATCTTCAATGCCAAGATCTCACGTTCACAACATGATGCCCATGAATTGACTCAATTGATAAATGAAACATTAGACAATGAAAATTTGCTTATTAAAAGTTTCCATGAATTTATTAGTTCAAATTTACAAACAGTTATGAAAACCACTCCCACGCCTCAAGATTATGCCGAACTTGTCAGTTGTCAAATCCCCGATTTCCCATTCGATGGATTAATCTTGAATCAAATGACATGTTTCTCATGTAAAGGTGTTTCAAAACCAAATTTCACTCCATTTTCTATGCTTACTTTGAATCCTCCACAAGCACCCGTAGTACAGTTGGATACATTGTTAGGTGAGAGTGAAAGTGATAGCATTGAAGGATACCAATGTCTCAAATGTCGTGTGAATAGAATAGTGGCTAATGAACAAACCATAAAGAGAAGAATCACCGATCCAGATGAAATCAAATACATTAAAGAGATAAATCGTTTATGTAACGATCCGACATTTTGTATTAATGAAGACTTGCCTGAAGATTTGGAAGCTTATATAAAGAATTATAATATAAATGGAGTGAAGATTTCATTAGTTACTTCCACAGTGTATAGAAAATCACAAATTTTGAAACCACCCAAAATCTTTGGAATTCACCTTTCACGGTCAGCATTTGACGGTCAAGAAATTACGAGAAATCAATGTCTAATTAATTTTAATGACTATTTAACATTGTCAATTGGGGAAGAATATACTGACACCTTAAAACAGTTTCAAAGCAGCATTCCTAAGAAAGAAGTACAGCTCCCTGAAGATATAAAGTCGCCTATTCTTACTACTGATGTCAATGATATGGAGGACGAAGCAGTACAGCGTGAAGATATAGATGAAACGGCAAAATATGGAGAAGTATGTGATATCCCAGAATCAAATGTTCCTATGGCAAAGAAAAAGTCACATCTCCTATTAGCAGAAGATTTAGATCTGGAATTCAGTGATACAGCATCACAATCAGATTTGGAATCTAGCACCGAGTTCATGACAAGTACTTCAAGTGTGTATCAAAATTTTGTCCAGCATCCATCACAAACATCATCACTTGCTTCCATAACTGAAAAACAAAGTGAGGATTTAAGGAAAATATTTGGACAGTTTAAGTTTAATGATGATGATGTTTATAGTTATCGATTGAAGGCGCTTATTAGACATATGGGGTCACATACTCAAGGACACTATGAATGTTATAAGAGGAAACCATTATACGTTAAAGATAGACACGGAAATATATTTAAATTATTCCCTGAAATAATAGATGATTCAAGCGATGAGAATATAGCGGAACCTACACATGAACCAATTGAAATACCAGCATATCTGATAAATGGAGATAATCCAGCCACCAAGAAACATTCTAATTTATCTCGTTCTTCATCGTCTGCAACTGCAATGGAAAATGCTAACACCACTTCAGAAGATAGTTTCCGTAGTAAGCTTTCGAATATGATTGCCCGGAGACCGTCTGTCTTTCAAGCTGATCCTGAGAATGTTGAAGAAATTATTCGATCGGGAACTCATTCACCTGCGGAATTATTAGTTGAGGATCCAATGCAACAAATGAATCAACAGCAAATACTTTCAGAAGAAATTAAACAGGCTCTTGACGAAAAACTTAATAAAAAGACCAAAATGAAGAAAATTAATTCCGTTGTGTCAAATCCATTCTGGAGAATCAGTGATGCAAAAATTTCTGAATGTTCAAAAGCTTATGTTTTGGCTGAAGGTGCAAGTGTTTATATGTTATTTTATGAAAGAGTGGATCGTAAACAAGTTAAGAAGCATGCCCATCATCATCATCACTTACATTGAAATAGCTTCATTCTCTCTTTTGTAGATAGGAAGTAATTAACTAGTAAATTGAGAATATGTAATGTCGCATTTTTATTTTTCATTCTCGATTCAGATCTGCCAAATAAAAGAAATTTAAAATGTCACCATGATAAGATCTGGTTCTTTTGAAATCACCAATTAATGACTACAGATCAACCAGGACTTTCAAAGCTTGAAAAGCTCAATGCATTATTAGGAAACAATACCAGAAGGCCGACAGCACCGACACCGGCAGCCACGCGACAAGGAGGTAGTTTGAAACCTCCAACCACATCGCCAGCAAATGTTCCGCTTTTCCCATCGCCAAACTCAGCACAACGGGCTTTATCGAGTCTAGCTCCACCTCGAGGGAGGGAGAGGAAGAAGGTAGCATTAAAGCCAGGTCATTCTCCTCTTGATTGGGCCCAACTAAATAGGACAGAACCAAAATTTAAACTTCGAGGTGTTGATCCAAATACTCCCCCACCACAATTTGTCAAGATCAAAAAAGAAGAATTAAAAAAACATAAGAGTCAAGATGATTGTTGGACATGTATAAATGGAAGAGTTTATAATATTACTCCATATGTGGATTTCCATCCTGGTGGAGTTGAAGAAATAATGAAATGTGCGGGAAGAGATGGGACTGCATTGTTTAATAAGTATCATAGTTGGGTAAATGTTGATCGAATGCTAGAAAATTGTATTGTTGGTTTGTATGTTCCTTAACGTATGATATATATATATTCTATTAGAAATAGGCAGATACGGATTATTATTAATAGACATCATGGTTTGCTACAATTAGTTTATCCAAAGGGAAATCGTGTTCTTCGGTAGGTATATCATCCACAAGTTGTTCTTGTAATGCAATTCCAATCAAATAAGGTTTCCTTTGAAACTTCTTAAAGTAATAATTTAAAAATTCGTCATAGAATCCTGCTCCATGACCAATTCTCTTTTTTGTCTTTGTGAATGCCACCCCGGGCATTATAATCACGTCTAAATCACCTTGTTCAATAGCATCAATACCCAGTATCGGTTCTAACAATTGATATTTCCCTTGAGGCTGAAGATTAAGAACATCATTAAATGTAGGTACTTGTAACATTGACAAAAAATTCTTCTTTCTACCTTCAACTTCAAATGGATTACATCGAGGCAAATACACATCTTTCCCATGTTGATAACATGATTTGATTATATCCATTGTCTTCACCTCCGAGTCTGGCATGTTCATAAATATTGCAATCTTTTTGCATTGTTGAAAACGATCTAATTGTAATAATTTTTGGTGAATGTCATGAGATTGAATTATTAACGATTCTCGAGATATTCCTTTTAAAGTACGCTTTATCTGTTTTCTTAATTGGTTCTTGGCTTCCTTTAAGGATACAGAAGTCATAGTGAGTGTATCAAAAGGATAGGAATATACAATTGGATAGAATTAAAGATTGATCCCAAAAAAAACGTCCGCATGTTGAAAATTTCAAGATTTCATTTCCAATGGTGGATATGGTAGCGCGTTAATAATGAATAATTTTCATTTGGTTTTATTTTCAGATAAGGATTATGAAACCAAATTCCTTCTGTTGACTGATATTCTATTAGTAGAGTTGTATGAGAGATTTAGTGGATACTTCAAAAAAAATTGCAAAAAGTTTTCTAGCGATATTTCATTCGATAGAAAACCTTTTTTTAAGGCTTGCGATCAAGATACAAACCATGGACGACTTACGAACACACTCAAACAAATTACACTGACATGAACTCACGTTAACACTTTTTTAAGGACTTTCCCTTCCTCTCAGGAGCGGAGGAAGGAGGATGCGCAAACCCGGAATCGAACCGGGGGCCCAACGATGGCAACGTTGGATTTTACCACTAAACCATTTGCGCGAAATTATCAGAAATTTTTTTTCAGACGCCAGGCGATTAAGTCGTTTCACGTGACATACGCATGACTTTCACGTGACTTAATTTTCGGATTTTTTGGGTTTGCTTGAGCTTGAAGAGATTTATATCTTAAAAAGCTAATGTAATGTATTCTTCAGACTATTACTTATCATTCAAGTTTGTGTTGGTGATATTAGAAATATTTGTTGTGAGGTAATGAAAGTATAATTTGGATCGTGCAGATTTTGTAGAATTTTGGCATTTTTTTGGAAAAATGCTGTCAAGAATTTTTAATCTTTTCAAAGACATCTAAATTTAGTTATTCAAAGATGGAAATACACGAAGACATAAGTATATTGATCATCTTGGGATTTTTTAACTTATATGAGAAAAAGAAGAAAAGTTTATGACAACCAAAGGAATCGTACACCTCCAAGAGTCTTAATAATTATTCTTACACACTCAGTCTCTAAGATGGTTCTGAAATGAGGTTTTAGGCAATGATGCTTTTTGCCTTTAAAGTATATTGTTTTTCTGTTTGTTATATTTCTGTATGTTAGTATGTATAAGAACTCAATAAACAGATTGTATATGTAAAAAAAAAGACAATGGCATTTGAGTTGAGTGGGTTCCTAGTGCAAGAAAGAAAAGATCGTTTAGGTTTTGTGTCTTTTGTTTCTTCCAAAAGAAGACGTATTTTCCCCTTTTAGCGGGATTCATATAATAGATTTTATTATTGTTGTTAGTTGCTCTCCAACGTAATGATGATTAGGGAACACTAAATGAACCTTTTGAGGGGTTGGGACCAACTCCTGCAACTACACGGGTCTCAACGCGAAAAAACGGCTGCAAAAAAAAAAAACATAAATAGAGATTGTGTTTAATGAAAAACATCCAATTTAGAGTTTTTTGGAAGACAAAACGGATTTACCCATAAATTGAAAATAAAAAATTACCAAAGAGGTTATAATATAGATTTTTAAACGTCTTGCAAACATTTGGGTTTTTGCACTTCAAATGACCATAAGATAATCATTTGAAGAGGGAAACCTATGCCAGGGACAACAGAAAACAAAAGCAGACAATTACATTTTGGGCTCTCTAAATATATAGTGGTGTAATTCTCTTGGATGCTCCTTCTACTAGTATCATTATTGATACATTTAATGTCTCTTTCTGTCTTTCTCTCTCTTAGTGTCTTCTACAAAAAACCAAGTAACAACATCCCTTTTTTCTAGTCGATTTATCTTTTGTCCCGGTTTTTTTGATACCTATCCCTTGACTGGAACAATTTTCGAGCTAACTAGGCCCTGTCAGTCGGCAGCCGCCACCTTCTAAACCAAGTTCAACTTCTTTTGTGCTTTCAAACGGTTATTCTTTTTTCTACGAGCAACATAAAACCAGGCATCCAATTGTTTTTTATTCAACCCAGTAGCCATCGTCAATTGACTCTTTTCAAATAAGTTCGGATAAGGATTATTCAAATGATCATTCAACCATTTAAGTAAAATATTCGTTATTTCTTCCGGAAATTTTTTTCTAGTCATACGTTTAGTTGGTGGACTATCCAACTCCCCAACACTTGAAGAATGATCATGACCTGATGAATTATGTGTCATGATTCCGATGCCTGGTGGTGGATGATGACCAGCAATAGGATATGAGTTTTCACGCGGATGTATTTGTCCAACTGGAGTTGTGGCTACACCATAGAAGGTAGGTGAGGCAGGTAGTGATAATGGTGACATAGTAGGGTCTTCCTCTTCCCAGGTGCTTTGCAGTGCCGACCATGGCACTATTGATCTATACTCACGGTCAAGTTTGTCAAAGTCTTGCAACGTCATTTTGTCCCACTTCCTCTTAGCGATTGTCCTGATTGCGTGAACCGTCAAATCTGTGTTCAATAACTCTCTTCGCAATTTTAGGACGTAGTAGATGAACACATTTTCACGTGTCGGAACGATTCCTTCGTCTTGCGAGATTAAGCTCAGTCTAATACTAACTATGAACGAAATTATTTCCGGTGTGGAACATTCACCTTTGCCTTCATGAACCAATTGATTGAGCTCCTCAAGACATGCATTTTTCTCAGACTCATCTAGATTTTTCCATTCTTTTCCTTCTTGACCAATGACATGCAACTTCTCCAAACGGTAGTACAAATATGCGTTTGTCAATGGAACATTTCGCCTTCGCTTTTTCTCGATTGACTCTTTTTCTTGGATGGGGATAAGTCTTGAGTTATGCATGCAGTACCCCAAATCCAAGATCTTTTGATATACCAACCTATAGCAGTTCTTTTCTTCGCTAGAAAGCTTATTCCATTCAAGAGTGGCTGATGCCACTCTACCATCGACATTTGTCTTTCTCAATGCTTGGTAACGAAAATACCGAAAGGCATGTCCAAAGTTAGCCTGTCGTGCAATTACTCTTCCAGAATTCGGGGGAATATTCAAGCTTCTCCTGGTGCCCTCTTTTGCTGATGACAGCATCGACTTATTTTTCACTCTGGAATACCAATCGAGGAATATTGGTTTATAATAGTCCCGCTGCTCCGTGGAAAGCGTATAAAACTGGTGCGCAGCCATACTATATGCAGTGTCTGCTATGTGAATGGTGCCGGCGACTGGCAAATAATGATGAACCTTGAGTTTGCGATAAAAGGCCCGCACCATATCTTTAGATACCTTAACTTTTTTGATTTCAATAGCTTCTTCTGGATCAGGTTCTATATAGGGGTGGTCATCATTCTGCGCTGGAGCTCCAGTAAGGGGTATAATCTTCCCATTGTAAATATCCCTCCCAGAAGATAACAAATTAAGATATGTGTCTCTATATGCAAGCTTCTCTTCATTGCAAAGAGACTCAAATGAGGGCCGAGTGTTGTTACCAATATCTTTGCCACAACCAGTGACCTGATTGAAATACTTCTCAGCATGGTGTAGATTGACTTCTTCCTCAACAATGGCTTTACAACTTCCATCATCCCTAAACTTAAATCTAACCCCCGTAAGTACTGAAATGTTTTCAGATAAAATTAATTTAAGGTCCACATGTTGTTTGTTCCAAAGATCTTTCCCACTCTGCAATAACTCTTGATATGTTGATCTAATGTCTTCTCTCATCAAGTTGGTCATGGAAAACCACTGTCGTCTAACTTTCTCCACTTTTCTATTTCCGGGCAATTGAAGGGATTGTTTTGTGGCAAAGAAATAGTTCCAAGCTTGTTCTAATGTAATCGGGGAATTCAGTTTAATATTATTTTCATCGTCGATGGTTATATCAAGTTTATTTATAGGGTTTATACGCTCAGAAACTAATGGCAACCAAAATTTTTTTCCGTTTGCAATAGGTTTGGAACTTTTTGTGATCTCAGTGGTTGATGACGGAGATGGAATTGAAACTAAAGCCAAAGGTTGATCAGACGTCCTTATTGCCTGTTGCTTCAATGCTGTTGATGTCGTGTGTAAACTTCTACTGAAGTTACATACACAATTTGAGGTAGATACTTTATGTTGTAATAACTTCATTGTAATCCAACATGAAAGCCCTGTGTTGTTTACTATGTCCACTTCTTGTACATATGTTGTAAGTCAATACTAAAAGATGACCGGTCTTTATATAACTTTGCAACAACCGAGAAGCTTCTGGAACAAATTGATTTTTCAGTCTTTTTTTTCCCACAGGGAAAATTTTGTTGAGGGCAATTTAAAAACGGTGAACTATTCCAACATTTCAATATCTATTAAGTCATAACAATTTTATTATACAAAAACACACATACACCCATACACACAGTGACACACAATGGATTTCGAATTAGAACCAACATTAGAATCATTGATTAAACAAGATACATTGAAATGGATTTTTGTAGGGGGAAAAGGAGGTGTGGGAAAAACCACAACATCTTCTTCAGTTGCCGTTCAATTAGCATTAAATCATCCAAATGATGAATTCTTATTAATCTCAACTGATCCAGCTCATAATTTATCCGACGCGTTCTGTCAGAAGTTTGGTAAAGATGCTAGAAAAGTAGATGGGTTACCTAATTTATCTTGTATGGAAATTGATCCTGAAGCTGCCATGAATGATTTACAACAACAAGCACAACAATACAATAATGATCCAAATGATCCATTGAAAGGTATGATGAATGACATGACTGGATCTATACCTGGTATTGATGAAGCATTGTCATTTATGGAAGTTATGAAACATATCAAGAATCAAAAGGTAGATGAAAATGATTCAAAAGATAAGATTTCTTATAGAACAATTATATTTGATACAGCTCCAACCGGTCATACTTTACGTTTCTTACAATTGCCTTCTACATTACAGAAATTATTGGGTAAATTCCAACAATTATCTGGAAGATTAGGTCCAATGATGAGTATGTTAGGTGGTGGTGCCGGCGCCCAACAAGATATGTTTGCAAAATTAAATGAACTTGAAAAGAATGTTACTGAAGTTAATGAACAATTCACCAATCCAGATTTAACTACATTTGTATGTGTTTGTATTTCTGAATTCCTTTCTTTATATGAAACCGAAAGAATGATCCAAGAATTAATGTCATATAATATGGATGTTAACTCAATTGTTGTGAATCAATTATTATTCGCCGATGATGATGAAAGCCCATGTGGTAGATGTGTTAGTAGATGGAAGATGCAAAAGAAATATTTGGACCAAATGGCCGAATTATATGAAGATTATCATTTAGTTAAGATGCCTTTGTTAGGTACAGAAATTAGAGGTGTAGAAAACTTGAAGAAATTCTCAAAGTTCTTATTGCAACCTTATGATCCTAAGATAGATCGTGCTGTTATTACTGATATAAAAGAGCAATAATTTTCTAGATAGTTGTATTAATAAAGTTTATAAATAATTTGAAAGCATATAATGGAAATATACCTTATAAATGTAAAATTGTAGTCTTATTTATTGGTTAGTTCCACCTCCCCCTCCCCACCACAAGTTCCGTTGTAACTGGGAATCCTTAAAAGTGAACATTTATGCCCGTTCAAGTGGCCGGCTCTCTAGTACGAGCGTTAGTGCGACTTCACTCACTTTCGGCCAAATTTTTTTTTTTTGGTGTTCTCATTCCAATCCACCACCGCCCACCAAGGAAAGTAGATTCCAAAGCAAAGGAGGTATTTGCAACCCCTTATAGAAACAAATTACTATTCAAGAAGCAGATTATTAATACAGTTTAATCACTATGGCCAGAGGAAATCAAAGAGAATTAGCTAGAGCAAAAAATCTCAAGAAGCAACAGGAGGCAGCCAAAGCAGGGAAGAAAAACAGTGATGGTGTATCATTCGAGAAGAAAAAGGAGACAGATGCAGAAAGAATGAGACAAAAGCAAGCAGCAGGTATGTATTATTCCTAAGAGAGACTAGAACTTATAGTTTTATTGTTCTGGTTGTACTAACACACCATTTTTAGCTGAAGCAAGAAAAGCAGCCGAAGCAGCCCAAAAGAAGTAAACCAACTTGTATTTAATTGTATCAGGTATTAAAGCGAGCTTCCTTTAAATCAAATATAGAGAAAAATGTAATATGTAGAAAGGAATAAAATATGTGTTTTTAATAAGTAAATCGCATGGCTCTCCCTGTAGGATTTCCAATTGACATTTTATAGCGGTTCATTGTCCAACCCTTTTGGATTTAATTGGAAAAGCACTTTCCACGGAAATAGAAGAAAAATCCCTCGGAAGAAGATACCACTCACTCATTGGCTTGTTTTTTTATACTTCCATGAGGGGTTTAAATAAATTATAAGAATTTCTTGATCAGTTTGATAAAATTCTTTTGTTTTCCCCGTGCTACAAATTGAACTAAATTTTTCAGTTGAGGAAAGAACTCCCAACACTCATTTCTCTTTATCTTTATCATACAACCAATCATCAAGCAGCTATGTTAATTGAAGAATCATATCATGACGTCAAGACGTCCTACGGAACTACCATGCGTATCTTTACTTACACTCCAAAAATTCCAAATTTCCCAAAAGTTAAATTCCCTGGTGTGATTGTTTATTCTGAAATTTATCAAGTCACTGGACCAGTCACCAGATTTGCCAAGGACATTGCTGGTCAAGGTTTTATCGTTGCTTGTCCATCTATTTATCATAATTTCGAAGGTCCGGAACCGTTGGCTTATGACGATGAAGGTACCGACAATGGTAACAAATATAAGATTGAAAAGGAATTGAAATCATATGATGAAGATAATTCTTTAGCAATTGAGTATTTATTATCGTTACCAAATTGTAATGGAAAGATTGGTGCAACTGGTATGTGTCTTGGAGGTCACTTGGCTTTCCGTGCTTCTTTAGATCCAAGAGTCAGTGCTGCCGTCTGCTTCTTTGCAACCGACATTCATATCCATGCTCTTGGAAAGGGTAAAAATGATGACTCTTTAAAGAGATGTGGTGAAATCAAGGGTGAAATTATCATGATCTTTGGTTGTAAAGACAACCATGTTCCTTTGGAAGGTAGGGATTTAATTAGAAGTGAATTAAGAGCAAAGAATGTTGCCATGACTTTTATTGAAATCAATGATGCTCAACATGCTTTTGTTAGAGATGAAATGAGTAAAGGAAGATATGATCCTGCCATTACCAAGAACTGTTTCGAATGGCTCCTCGAGTTATTCAATCGTAAATTGAAGTTGGAATATGGTGATCATGATGGTCAACCAGTTGTCATTCAAGATATCTGTTAAAGCTGAAGTTGTATGTAATTTTTCAGTATTTACACGACCTTTTCTTTTATATATGCAGTAACACTTTTATATGCCGGAATCGAATATTCTTTGATGAAAAAAAAAAATTGTAAAAAAACAGAAGCCCAAATCCATCGTAGTTCAAAGGACAGTGGCTAACACTTTTACGTACAAATAGAATAAGCAAGAAATGAGACCAATAAAGTTGATGGGTCATGAGCGTTCATTGACGCAAGTGAAATATAACAGAGAAGGTGATTTATTATTCTCAGTTGCCAAGGATAATGCCGCATCCATTTGGTATTCTTCAAATGGTGAAAGATTAGGAACTTTAGAAGGTCACAAGGGGGTAATTTGGTCTATTGATGTTGATCAAGAATCTCATTTATGTGCTACCGGAGCGGGTGATTTAACTATAAAATTATGGAAAGTAGAAACTGGTGAATGTGTTTTCACTTGGGATGCACCATCACCAGTTAGAAGAGTTGCATTTTCAGCTGATGGAACACGATTATTGGCTATTGCTGATCAAGTTATGGGACATAAAGGTACTATATCCGTTTTCGACATAAATCAAGATGATAATTCTTTAAACCAACAAAATAAGGAACCTTCATTAGTCATTGAAACTCCAGAAGGTGGTTCTAAAGCCACTGTTGCTGGTTGGACTGGTGATTCTAAATATATCATTTCTGGACATGATGACGGTCATGTTTCCAAATATGACTCTACTACTGGTGAATTAGTTTCAACTGTTCAAGCCCATGGCATTCACAATGAAGAAAAAAATGTCACCATTACTGATATTCAATTCGCACCAGAAGATAAATCATACTTTATTACTTCTTCTAAGGACAAGAATGCATGTTTAATAGATGTCGATACATTTGAAATCTTGAAAGTTTTCAAAGCCGATGCACCAATGAATACTGCTGCTATCACCCCAGTCAAAGATTTTGTTATTTTAGGTGGTGGTCAAGAAGCCAGAAATGTTACTACCACTGCTGAATCTCAAGGTAAATTCGAAGCTAGATTCTACCATAAGATCTTTGAAGAAGAAATCGGTCGTGTTAAGGGTCATTTCGGTCCATTAAATACTATTGCTGTTCACCCTGATGGTACTGGCTACAGTAGTGGTGGGGAAGATGGTTTCATTAGAGTTCATACTTTTGATAAATCTTATAATGAATTCCTCTTTGATGCTGAAAGAACTGAAAAAGCTGCCGCTGCTGGTACCATCTAAGAGTCAGCGAATGTTAGAGAACAACAAAGATATTTTTAAGTATCCGAGCATTTCATAAACTTGTATATTAGTTTAGTCTTTTAATAAAATGATTGTTTGCAATAGACTTATTGGTTATAGAATCTGTGTTTCTCAGGTATATAGAACGAATTACAAATATTGAAAAATCTCATAGTCTTGTAAAGCTATCAAGTATCGACAGTTGAAAAATGGATCACTTGTCCCAATTAGGAAATCAGATGAGCTGCAGATCAATCGTTATCACGTGACTATGTAATTTTGCATTACATCAGATATTTTTCGATTCATTTCTTTTGCGGCTTACGTTATTGCCATCTTTCCTTCTCTTCTCTATACACCGACGTCATCTAACAACAGAGACATATAATTAAAACCACATAGAAGAAGATAAAGAAATATAATGGCACCAGCACGAAACAGCGGCGACCTGTCTTCGCATTCGTCAGACTCTGAACCCGTAGAAGGTGGATTCCTTGTAAATGATCCCGAATATTCCAGACAAAGAAGATCCAGAAGAATATCAAGCAGAAATGTTTCATATAAAGAAGAAGACGATAACGAAAGTGATTATGATGCAGACACGTATGCTAATGTATCCACACCCATCAAAAAGAGAAACACGCGTTCTGCGACGCGTAGTACGAGTAGCAAGAAAAGAAAGGTTAAAGAAGAGGAAACAGATGAAGATGAAAATGATTCAGATTTCGTTGTTGATCTTGAAGCAGAGGAGGGAATTAGTTCCGAAGAGGATGAGGTGCTGATACTTGCTATTGCTGAAGTAGCTAGGGATGGTTCTTCTTCGAATTTGGCGATTTCGTTATCTGATGATGAACTCCCACTTGCGATGCGAGATCGCCCGGAGGATGAAGAAAGTGGTAGTAGTAGTAATCGCAGACGAACTACCAGTCGTAGCGCTAAGAGAAAATCTACTCCTAAGAAGAAGAAAGCACCTAAGGTAAAAGTTCCATATTTTACGCGTATTACAGAGAGATTATATGAGCATCATCCTGAATTGAAAGAAGTGTTCCCTCATCTAGCAACATGTGAGAAGATCAAAGTAGAAAGAGCTGAGCATCCTCCAGGAATGACAATCAGACTCTTGCCTTTCCAACTTGAAGGTTTAAATTGGTTAATCAAGCAAGAAGATGGCGAATTTCAAGGAGGTATATTGGCAGATGAAATGGGGATGGGTAAGACGATTCAAACAATTGCACTTTTTATGCAAGATCGATCAAAGAGGCCCAATTTGGTTGTGGGTCCAACTGTTGCCCTTATGCAATGGAAAAATGAGATTGAAAAGCATACTGATCCAGGAATGTTAAAGGTTCTTCTTTATCATGGAGCAAATCGAAGTAATGATCCCGAAGAATTATCTAAGTATGATGTTATTCTCACATCTTATTCGGTATTAGAATCGGTTTTCAGAAAACAAAATTATGGGTTTAAGAGAAAAGGTGGATTAGTTAAAGAACCTTCACCTTTGCATACTATGGAATTTTATCGAATTATTCTTGATGAAGCACATAATATTAAAGATAGGGCTTCAAATACTTCCAAAGCAGCTAATGCCTTATTAGCCCAAAAGAGATGGTGTTTAACAGGTACGCCTTTACAAAATAGAATTGGTGAAATGTATTCCTTAATTCGATACATGAAGATTGAACCATTTTCACAATATTTCTGTACGAAATGTGAATGTACCAGTTCACACTGGCAATTTAGTGATTGGAGACATTGTGACAATCAGAAATGTAGACATTCTTTGATGCAACATACTTCATTTTTTAATCATTTCTTATTAAAGAACATCCAGAAATATGGGGTAGAGGGACTTGGTTTAACCAGTTTTCAAAACCTTAGATTACTTTTGGACAATATTATGTTAAGAAGGACTAAGCTTGAAAGAGCAGATGATTTAGGGTTACCTCCAAGAATTGTTGAAATTAGACGTGATAGGTTTAATGAAGAGGAAAAAGATTTATATACTTCACTTTATAGTGATTCCAAGAGAAAATTCAATGATTATGTTGCCGAGGGGGTTGTTTTGAATAATTATGCCAATATTTTCACTTTGATTACCAGAATGAGACAATTGGCAGATCATCCAGATTTGGTACTTAAAAGAGTAGGGTCCAATGCTATAACAGACAATATCGAGGGCGTTATCATGTGTCAATTATGTGACGATGAAGCGGAAGAACCAATAGAATCTAAGTGTCATCATCGATTTTGTAGAATGTGTGCCCAGGAATATGTGGAGTCATTCATGGCCGACAGCAGTAAACTACAATGTCCTGTTTGCCATATTGGTCTTTCAATAGATTTGGAACAACCAGCAATTGAAGTGGATGAGGAGCTTTTCACAAAAGCATCCATTGTGAATAGGATTAAAATGGGAGCTCATGGCGGTGAATGGAGATCATCTACTAAAATCGAAGGATTAGTTGAAGAGTTATATAAACTTCGATCAGATAAACATACTATCAAATCAATTGTATTTTCACAATTCACATCGATGTTAGATTTAATAGAATGGAGATTGAAGCGGGCTGGTTTCCAAACTGTCAAATTACAAGGTTCGATGTCGCCACAACAGCGAGATAATACAATCAGATATTTTATGGAGAATACAGAAGTTGAGGTTTTCCTAGTATCATTGAAGGCAGGTGGGGTTGCACTTAATCTTTGTGAAGCATCTCAAGTATTCTTAATGGATCCATGGTGGAATCCAAGTGTTGAATGGCAATCTATGGATAGAGTGCATAGAATTGGTCAACGTAGACCAATTCGAATAACTAGGTTTTGTATTGAAGATAGTATTGAACTGAAAATTATAGAATTACAAGAAAAGAAAGCAAATATGATCAATGCAACAATTAATCAAGATGATGCTGCTATTAGTAAGTTGACGCCTGATGATTTACAGTTTTTGTTTACCAATTAAGTTGATGTCTTAAATAGGGTTGTTTTAGTTATAATTTGGAAATGTCTCTTTGCACCCAATAATGTCGTTTTATTTAATGTCGCATAGTGACTCATTAATTCTTTTACGGCGCGCTTAATTTAATTTGCCCATTGATAAGAATTCAGTCATTTTCTCTATCACTCATTAGAAAAACTAATTCCGGTTAAAGGCTGGAGAAATTGAAAAATGTGAAAAATTTCAGTTTCAAAAAATTTCTCTCTTCCATCTCTTCTTCTTCTTCTCTTCTTCTTCTTCAATTGACAATAAACAAATACGAAGATGTCTGATTTCTGGCAAAGTTATTTGGACAATCCTACATTGTCTGTATTACCCCATGACTATTTAAAACCTGCTAATAACAAGTCAGTTGAAGGCTCTTATTCTTTTGAACTTCCCGCTAAAACCGATTTCATCACTGGATTATCAGTATTTGCTGCTTTAGTTTTCAGATTGACTGGTGACGAAGATATTGTAATTGCTACTGACTCCGAACAAGATCCAACTGAATTTATAATTAGATTGAATTTAACACCTGAAATTTCATTTAAAGATCTTGTAAATAAAATCACCGATGAATATCAAACCAATCAGAAGAATATTAATTATAAATCATTATCTGAGGTCTCTCATGCCATTAAAGAAGCTAAGAAATTGGAAGAATATCCTGGCTTATTCAGATTGTCGTACCAACACTCCAATCCTCACCAACAATTGAGTACTTCTGTCGAAGGGTCTATTCGCGATTTAGCCGTTTTCACCGATGGCCACAAATTTACAATTTTCTATAATGCCTTATTATATTCTCATGAGAGAATTTCTACATTTGGTGAACAATTCGTCCAATATATTGGGGCTGTTGATGCTCAACCAGAAGTTGTGATAACAAAGGTTAGTTTAATTACTGAGTCTCAAAAGAAGCAATTACCTGACCCAACTATAGACTTAGATTGGTCTGGGTATAGAGGTGCTATTCAAGATATCTTTATGAGAAATGCTGAAGCTCATCCTGAAAGACCATGTGTTGTGGAAACAGAATCTTTCATGGACTCAAATTCAAAGACTCGTACTTTTACTTATCAACAAATCAACCAAGCTTCTAACATTGTCGGGAATTACTTGAAAGAAACCGGAATTAAGAAAGGGGACATTGCTATGATTTATGCTTATCGTGGTGTTGATTTAATGATTGCCGTTTTGGGTGTTTTAAAAACTGGTGCTACATTTTCAGTCATTGATCCTGCATATCCTCCAGCCAGACAAAACATTTATTTATCGGTTGCAAAACCAAGAGCTTTAATTGGATTAGAAAAGGCAGGGACTTTGGATCAATTGGTAGTTGATTATATCAAGAATGAATTAGATGTCATCACCACTATCCCACAATTAAAGATCAATGATGATGCATCACTTGTAGGTGGTGTTATTGGAGGTGAATCTCAAGATTGTTTGGCTTCTTTTGAAAAGTTTAAAGATCAACCAACTGGTGTCATTGTTGGCCCAGATTCTAATCCAACTTTATCATTCACTTCTGGTTCTGAAGGTATTCCAAAGGGTGTTTTAGGTCGTCACTTTTCTTTAGCATATTATTTCCCTTGGATGGCAAAGAGATTCGGATTATCAGAAAATGATAAATTTACTATGCTTTCAGGTATTGCACACGACCCAATTCAAAGAGATATGTTTACTCCATTATTCTTGGGTGCGCAATTATTAGTTCCAACTGCTGATGATATTGGTACTCCTGGTAAATTGGCTGATTGGATGGCAAAATATGGTGCTACCGTTACACATTTAACTCCAGCCATGGGTCAATTATTAAGTGCACAAGCAAGTACTCCTATCCCAACCTTACATCATGCGTTCTTTGTGGGGGATATCTTAACAAAGAGAGATTGTTTAAGATTACAAAGTTTAGCAGAAAATGTTGCAATTGTTAATATGTATGGTACTACAGAAACCCAAAGAGCAGTTTCTTATTTCGAAATCAAAAGTAGAAAAGATGATCCTATGTATTTGAAGAACTTGAAAGATGTTATGCCAGCTGGTACAGGTATGCATAATGTTCAATTATTAGTTGTGAATAGACATGATACATCCCAGACTTGTGGTGTTGGTGAAGTTGGTGAAATCTACGTAAGAGCAGCTGGTTTAGCTGAAGGATATCGTGGTTTACCTGATTTAAATGCTGCAAAGTTCATTACTAATTGGTATGTTGATCCATTCCAATGGGTCAAGAAAGATCAAGAAAACAAGAAGCCAGAAGAAGCATCTTGGAGAGAACAAGGCTGGTTTGGTCCAAGAGATAGAATGTACAGATCTGGTGATTTGGGTCGTTATTTACCAGACGGTAACGTTGAATGTTGTGGTAGAGCTGATGATCAAGTTAAGATTAGAGGATTCAGAATCGAATTAGGTGAAATTGATACTCATTTATCCCAACATCCATTAGTTAGAGAGAATGTTACCTTAGTAAGAAGAGATAAGAATGAAGAAGCAACTTTAGTTTCCTATATCGTTCCAAAGGATTCTCCAGACTTAGAATCTTTCAAGTCAGAATTTGATGAATCTGCTGAAGAAGCCAATGATCCAATTGTGAAGGGATTAGTTGCATACAGAGAATTAATTAAAGACATTAAGGCTTACTTGAAGAAAAAATTAGCCTCTTATGCAATTCCTACGATTATTGTTCCATTAGTTAAATTACCGTTAAATCCTAATGGTAAGGTTGACAAGCCAAAATTACCATTCCCAGATACCGTTCAACTAGCTGCTGTTTCTAGATTAAGTACATCTGCCAAGGATGCAGAAGCTGCTGAACAGGAAGAACTTACTAGATTGGAAGAAATTATTAGAGATTTATGGTTTGATGTCTTACCTAATCGTCCAGCAACCATTTCCAAACAAGATTCATTCTTTGACTTGGGAGGTCATTCTATTTTGGGTACTCGTATGATTTTCGAATTAAGAAAGAAATTAAATGTTGAAATTCCATTGGGTGTTATTTTCAAGAATCCAACTGTTGAACAATTCGCTAAAGAAGTTGAAAAACTTATTCAAGGAGGTCAAGATTTCCAATTAGCAGATGGAGCTCATGAAGAAGCCGCAGCCCCAGCTCAAAAGCCAGAGATTAGTTATGCTAAAGATGCTGTATTGTTATCGCAATCGGAACTTTTACCTTCTTACCCATCATTAGAGAAATTGGATACTTCTAAGACCATTAATGTTTTCGTTACTGGTGCCACCGGGTTCTTGGGTTCATTTATTGTTCGTGATTTATTAACAGCTCGTTCCAAAATTGATGTCAAGATTTTTGCCCATGTCAGAGCTTCTAGTCGTGAAGCAGGATTAGAAAGATTACGTCAAACAGGTACTACATATGGTATTTGGGATGAAAAATGGGTCGATAAGATTGAAATTGTCCTTGGGGATTTATCTAAGAAACATTTTGGTTTACCTGAAGATGAATGGAAACAATTGACTAATACAATTGATGTAATTATCCATAATGGTGCCTTTGTCCATTGGGTTTATCCATATTCTCAATTACGTGATGCTAATGTTATTGGAACAATCAATGTCTTAAATATGGCCGGTGAAGGAAAGGCTAAGAACTTTTCATTTGTTTCTTCAACTTCTGCAATTGATACTGATTATTATGTTAATTTATCTGATGAATTATTGGCAAGAAACAAAAGTGGTATTTCTGAAGATGATCAATTGGCTGGATCTGCAAGAGGATTAGGCACTGGATATGGTCAATCTAAATGGGCTGCTGAATTCATCATTAGACGTGCTGGTGAACGTGGTTTAAGAGGATGTATTACCAGACCAGGTTATGTGACTGGTTTCTCCAAGACTGGTGCTTCTAATACCGATGATTTCTTATTGAGAATGCTTAAAGGTTCAGCAGAATTGGGATTATATCCAGATATTACCAATCATGTTAACATGGTTCCAGTTGATCATGTTGCAAGAGTAGTTACTTCAACTGCATTACATCCACCAAAAGATTCTGAATTGGCTGTTGCTCATGTAACTGGACATCCAAGAATTCAATTCAATGATTTCTTAGGATGTTTGCAATCTTATGGATATGAGATCAAACTGGCCGATTATCCAGTTTGGACTACTGCATTGGAAAGATTTGTGGTTGCTGAATCAAAAGAATCGGCGTTATTCCCATTGTTACATTTTGTTTTGGATAATTTACCACAAGATACCAAAGCTCCAGAACTTGATGACACAAATGCTGTTACTTCATTGAGATTAGATACAGAATGGTCAGGTGAAGACGTGAGTGCAGGTAAAGGAGTTGATGCTGATCAAACTGGTATCTACATTAGTTATTTGATCAAGATTGGATTTTTACCAAAACCAACAGGTAAAGGTGAAAAAGAATTGCCAGAAATTGAATTAAGTGAAGAGACTTTAGCATTAATTGAAAGAGGTGCTGGTGGACGTGGGTCTGCTGCTAAGTAGACCGGGAGGTTTCTATAAATAGTTTTTAGTATTTCGTAGTAAGTATAAATTTATACGTGTAAAATAATAATATTATTCTTTTGGGATCTTGATTCAGTAGAAAAAAACATTCTTAGCGAGAAATAATACTTCAAACCTAAATTCCACCACATTAATAAAAAAAGGGTCACCTTAAGGTAGAAAGTCATTCTAAACAAATCTACTAAATATATTGACGTCATTATGAGATATGATATCTTCAATTTCAAATGCTGAACAAAATCAGGAACCTCGAGCTCATAATATAATGCAACGACAACTATCATCCCCAGTACAACTACCACCAATGAGTGCGAATCATCAACATCAACCAGACGAAGACTATTGTGACCCACATGGTATAGATCTGATTCCAGAGGACAAAGACATCTTGGAAAATGAGCTCGGCGATTATAGTCCTGTTGCAAAGAATTCTTCAGATGTCACAATAAGAAATGACAACCACGACAATCATCCCCATGACAACGACCGCACTACTCAACAACAACGTCGTCCATCAGTTACAGAACGAGTAACGTCTCCATATCCAATGCGAGCCGGGTCTTTTCCCGAGAGTGCTTCTATGATCCTTGAACATCAGAATAACAATCAAGAAATGGTGGCGCCTATTATGTCAAGTGCATCCCAGCCACCTTCTGATTTTGCCACTGGTGGGATAGGGATACGGGCAATATCGGCAGCTGGAACTAATCAAAATAACAAATTATTTTCCAAAAAACAATGGAATCAGAATGTGATGAAGGGCGATTTACCAATCAATGCATCTGGGACTAATCTAAATGTTTTCCTAAGAGGTGATAGAAGACATTCATTAAGTCCAACTATGAATGAATTATTGACTAGTCCGAAATATAAATCGATTGATTCTGGCACTAGTGGAAGTGCTTCTAATAAAGGAAGCCCCAGAGGGAATCTTAAATCAAATAGTTCATCTACGAGTATTCCGAAAGCTACAGCTACTAGTGCAAGTGACAAGAAGAGATTGGTTGATCAATTTTATAATGCAAATGTCAAACCTAGCACCAGTAGTAGTCGAGGGAGTAGTAGTCTAGATTTATCTAGTATGTTTCGAAATGCCAATAATGACATGGCACTGTTGCCGGTTACAGGCGAAAGTAAGCTACGATATCAGGCTAGTGGGGATACATCTAGCGAAATGACGGAGAATTCGAGTAATGAAACAGAATCAACTATGAGTGGAAAATTAAATGATGAATCATTTGTTAATATTCTAAATGAAGGAGGGTTTAAGTTTAATTATGATTCAAGTCGATTAATGCAAGATGAAGAATTGATGAATTATTTATTGAATATAGATACTATGCTTGATTCAAATCCAGAAGATAGTTTAAAACCTTTTGAACAATTAGGCAGTATAATGTCAGGAATATCGGAAAAGATTCTGATTAAATCCACCCTGGAAATAACAAACCCAGATAACAATAATAAAATAGGCACATCTCTTGATGAGTTAGAAGGATTACTGAATTATCTTGACAATTTAAAATCACAAACTCAACAATTAATGACCCATTTGATTGAAAATAGAACATCAATCAGCAAAAAATATCAAAATGAAATCAATGAAAACATTAATCGAATGAGTCAAGTTTCTGCCCAATTAGAAGGATTAGAGAACAAATTAAATCTGATTAAAGATAAAATAACCGAACAAAAAGCCGTTATATCTCATGAAATGATGGAAAGATTAGATTTATTAGAACGAGTTAATCGACAAATGCAAGTATATTCTAAAGAAAGTTCAAGTCGGAAGTTTATGCAAGTGAATATTACGATTGCTGTCTTTATCTTGGTTTTTGGTATTTATTATGGATATAGTAAGGGATAGGGGTAGCGATCGATGTTTTGTTTTGGTGTTTTCCGCGGAAAAGTAATGCGGTATCTCCATAGTATAGAAAACGAATAGGTCAAGGGAAAAGCTGTTTGTGACTCCGGCAAAGTCTCCTAAATGGGCTTGAGTGGGTTTTAGTGTAACATTCTTTTTACTACGAAATTTATTTGGGGGGAAATTTTGTTCGCGCAAACGGAAGATGACACTTACACTAAATCAGCAACTTGAAAATGAGAGATAGACAGAAGCCATCTTGCACTAGCAGGAGAGATGTGGGTTTTACGATATCCTCCTAGTGTTTTGTCTTTTAATTAAACTCACAGGGAACGGTTTGACACATTTTGATTATTATTTAAATTGACTGCAAAAAAAAGCAACAATGTAACGTTGTGGTAAAAATGCGCTTTTCTCGTTAGGCTCGTGGATACTACATAAAGCTAGTTGTTATACTGTACATCGAACAAATCATGTAACAATTGAATGCGTTTATAGAATATTTATTAAATAATAATATTATTATTCAATATACACACACATAAATTTGTATATAACACTACATCTATTCTTGTCACGTGGAATTGTGTATCTAAAGTGGCTTATTGCAAAAATCCCGGTCTTTGTGTGTTTGATTTTGCTTCCCTCTCCTTTTGAAAAAAAGTCGTCAATTGCATCGGCTATTCAAGCCCATCCAAGTACTAAGCCTGATGATAGAGTTGGGGGAAGGTTATTTGTTTTAATTACACGGCCATTTTTTCAATTATGAGTAATCTTGCTTATGGGGTTTTTGAGGTACAACTTTGAATTTTTTTTTGTATGTGTGTGGATTGCGCAATTTTTTACAGAGCTCTCGTAAAATAAATTTGACATAACGGTTGAAGGCTTTTGTCCCAAGAAAAATTTATTCGTTCGTTTGACAGTTCAGTTCTTGTACTATTGAGGTTGTTTGAGTAGGTCATTTGATGTGATGTGATAGTTCTAATAAACTGCAATACTGTAGCAGTTACTGAACCAGGTGGCATTTCACAGGCATCTAAAACTGCGGAAATTTATTTCCGAAATCTTGCATAAAGTTTGTGGGATATTTTTAACTTTTTTAAACAAACGGTTATTTTATGCCAAAGTACACGACCATTTTAAACAATTTGACTTCGATTTTGTCTTATTTTCGCAATTTTGATTTTACATTCTTCTACTTTTGACTTTACCTTCAATTAAATGAAATCTTTCCGAGATATGAGATTTTAAGATTAAAGAAGATACTTTACTTTTACTTCAATTTCCAGTTTTAAGGATCCTTCTTCTATTTTTCTTTTCTTTAAAGGAACTGTATCTATAAGTTTTACCCACTAAAATTCACTGACCAGCTTTATTTGGGAGATTAGGCAAAATTATTTACAACCAAATTCCATTTACAACCACACATTCGTTTTATATATTTTTGTTATAGCACATAGAAAGCTTAGGATAGATTGACAACCAATTACAACCATATACATATAGTACATAACATCTATTCAACTACCCCGGAACCGAACATTTTGATATATTAGATAAGTTCCCAAGTTCGTAACCAACAACCAATTTCCACGTTACATATTTAGAGTTCGGAAAGAGTATAGGATTCTGCGTCAGTCATCGTCTAAGAGTCCAATCAACAAATTGTTCCCATCTGGCCTGATTTAGAAACCGTTGAATAAGCCTTGCTTTAAAGTCACTACCACCTTTATTTACTACCTAAATCTTGTTTGTTTGTTTTACAGCTGTCAACCAAGAAAAAAATAATAAGGGCGAATTGTTAACATAGCAACTTGAAGAGAGAGACAGACAATAAAACCGTAATTTTTATTGAAGTATCTTCTAGAAAAGAAATCATTATTCAGAACAATCAATTGTCAAAATATTATAAATTATTATAAATAGATAAACAATAGATTTGTTAAGAGACAACGGGAAAAAGAAAAGACCAAGAGATAGAAAAAAACCGTTGTGTAATCTTAAAAAATAAATTAATTAAATTATAATCACACTTTCAACTGCCACAGCAACATCATCACCATTATTACATTCATCTCAGATTATTATTAATAATAAAATCTATTTCCGTTAACATAAGCCAATCAATCATACAACTCCTCATCATCCCCCAAGAAAAGAATTTTTTTAAAATAAAATAATATAATAATATAACGTTTTTTTGAATTATTATTATTTTTTTTTTGCTTAGATTTAAAACAGAAATTTATAAAAACCATATTTAAGTTGTGGAAAAAGAAAAAGATTACCGTTGGGAATATTTTTGCTTTTTCATCTGATTATAATAGTGACCAAGTTTGATTTATAATAATTCATATTTCATCCAGACATTTTTAACCCTATTTCATTTTTCAAAACTCATCTCATTTTGGAAGTTTGTATCATTTTGAGTATCATTTGAGGGGTTATCGAAAAAACGAGAAGGCCAAGGAAAAAAAGATCCAAACTACCTCATCACTCATCATCATTCTTGCATTTAAAAGAACAATAGACTTGTATTCATTTGCATATACACCTACTGCAAGATATTTATATAGACATGGTTGAAGTATTATCACTAGTATCACATCCGTCTAGGATACCCAATACAAAATCCAGAAAGTTCTTTCAAAAATTTCGAGATTTGGTTCATTATTTAATTCAAAAGGCAAATGCAGAAACTGATTCAAATCATCCTATTGTCATTATAATATCTCAAGAAGATAACAGATCTACCTCATCATTAGATTTACTTTTATTTAATGAGAAGTTATTATTATTACGATATTATTTTGGCCATTTGAATTTAATCGTTTGTAATGAGTCAGTTACTCTGAAACATTTAGAAGCACCAATAGAACAAGTTACACATTTGATTACTAATAGAATATCCCGAGTTGAAACTTGGACCGGAACAGGACCAAATCCAATAAATGACAAATATAATACAACCACAACTGTTCATAATGCCCATCTGCATCATGATAATCATCAAAATAGTAATAACATTCATCCTCATAATAATAGTAATAGCATAGGCTTTGTACCGCCAAAAGTATCTGGTATTATCCCTACCATGACATATATATTAAGCAACAACTGTACAAAAGCCGGAAGCACATTTAACACCCTAACTCATTTCAAAGACCTTATTCTCGATGAAATCAATATGATTGAATTATTATCAAATCATGACCCAAGTCATTTATCCCAATTATGTCATGCCGTTGGAAATTGGGCATTCCCTGCACATGAATTAACCAATGATGATTTAGTATATTGTGCATATTTAATGATTCATTATGCATTGCAACAAATTGATCCTAATCAATATCCCGGATTGAAATTTCTTAATAAGAATGAGTTATTGGGGATGATATTTATGGTACGAGATACTTATAAGAATGGGAATCCATTTCATAATTTCCGTCATGCTGTTGATGTCCTTCAAGCTTGTTTTCATTTCTTGGTTAGATTGGGATGTTTACCCAAATTTAAATATTTGACTACTGATCCTGAAGTGGAAATCGAAGAACAAGAACCAACAGATGGTTCAGTTGAAGATCTTCAGACTGAATTGGTTGTTGCTGAGAATATTAATGGAAGTGATGATGACAAGAAAGAACCATGTTTGAATCCATTACAAACTTTGGGATTATTGATTGCTGCATTAGGACATGATGTTGGACATCCTGGGGTAACTAATTTATTTATGATTAAGAATGGTGCACCAGTTTCATTAATTTTCAATGATAGATCAGTATTAGAATCCTATCATTCATCAGTATTTATTAATAAGATATTACGAGTGAATTGGCCAAGTTTATTAACTACCAAAACCGATGAAGAATCAGGACTAACTATTAGAGAATTGATCATCTCATCAATATTGGCAACTGATATGGGAGAACATTTTGAATATATTCATAGATTAAAGAATTTGACTACTCATCATGATGAATCGATTAATTACAGTAGTAAAGTGAAATTAATTGCTTCGTTATTAATCAAATGTGCTGATATTTCTAATGTAACTCGACCCTTACGAGTTTCTGCTCAATGGGCATTGGTATTAGCAAGAGAATTTGATGAAGTTGCATTATTGGATTCTAAATTAAATGAAGGGAAAGAAATTGATTTTAATTCAGAAATTTCTTATAATCATGTTGCTCATGATTTAAATGATATCTTAAAGATTAATCCATGTTTACATAAGGGGCAAATATTTTTTATTAATACATTTGCTGAGAATTTATTTAATAATATTGCAGAATTATTACCAGAATTGAGATATACTTGTGATATAATTAAAGAGAATAAGGAATTTTGGTTGGCTAGAAATAATTAAGAACTTACACGTTTATAATTACACTTGGTAACTCTATTTAATGAGGTTACTAATTATTTTGTATTTTTATTGTTGTTGTTTTATTGAACTTTATAGAATGTGTATAATTACATATACAAATATACATACATAAATATCGCATTGTAATGTAATCATTAGAAATAAATTTAAGCTGTAGATTATTACTGCAAAAATTCTTAACGTAGATTTTGGATTGACAGAGTTTTTTGTGTTCCTAGAAACGGTTGTTGCTAAGGTACACCAAATTTATCTGAACAAGAAAAAAAAACATTAATACAGGGGAGGGAATTCGGTGATGCCTGAGGCTGCTGAATTATACAGTAAGATACATTAAACAATGAAACCTGGATCTAATTGATAAGTAAGATCTGGATATAATCCAAAACATTATTGAATAATCAATCTCTCTCTTATAATGATTAATTAATTAAGTTGAAATTTAAGGATTAACTTTTTAGCCTGCATAAAACGAAAAATAGTACGGGCTCCAATTCTATCAAATAGCTTTCGATTGAAGCATTGAAAGAGACGCTGTGAGAATTGGACAACAGGAAGACAGAGATATACGCATAAGTAAGGCTTAGTGACACAGCCATTGCCATTTGGATTTATAGAAAGATAATAATAATTCCATGGGCAATTGAGTTTGTAAATGACTTAGAAACTTTAAAGTCTTTTTTTTTTGTGGCATCTCATCAGATTTCATAAAGGGCAAAGATAGGCCATGCACTTCGCTTCTTCTGCTCTTCGCTCTTCGCACTCCGTACTAATTGTCCAGGTCCCAGTAGTCCCTTTCTTTCCGTACCAAAGAAAAAAAAAATCTCCATTTCTCTTTTCTTATTCTTCTTTTTCTTCTTCCTCTTTATCCCACACACACAATTTCATTTTTCCATCGACATCCATCTCAAATACAATACCGTTTCTTTTGGTGAAAGGACACATACACATATACATCCCATACTATATATTCTAGGAATCAAACCCGTTATTACTCAAAATTACGATTCCTTTTTACCACCCTCCCACATTACACACATCCTCAGATCTTTCTGGTTTCCATTTAGCATTTTTTTTTATTAGAAAGAAAGATCCCCCTCCACACACAAAAGCCTATTTGTTGAACTATTCCCCCCTTCGAAAGTCAAGTAACAATGGATCATAAAAATACACCCAATCCGAAATCACCACAAGGTTTCTTTGAACGACCAATCATATTATCACCTCCACCGTTGGAACATGTAATGCCATTTGGTGTCCCATCTCAAGATATGGCAGCAGCAGCAGCCAACACTGCTACCAATCCAACAACCACTACTAGTAACAATAGTACTGCGCCATCATCTGGTGTATCCACAGGCAATACTTCACAAAGACAACAAAGTATTGGATATAATTTACAACATGAATTTGAAACATTAAATGCTGATTTAGATTTAGATTTAAAGAATAATCAACAATTAAGATTTATTGCTTCCCATAGCGTTCCTTCAATCGAACAACAAATTCATGCTGCGTCTAACAATAACAATAGTCTACCAGCATTGACAGGAACTCATAAACAGCATCAACAACCACATCCAACAAAGCCTGGTTTATTAGCTCCGGCAGCTTCTAAGTATGGAATGGGTTCTGAATTATTAGGCACATCTTCTTCTGGTGCCACTATTCCAATTCTTAGAGAATCGGCATTATCTCCAATTCAACCAGGAAATGCGTCTGGTGGTCTTGCATCGTTATTGAATAATGGTTCAAGTACTACCACAGAAAATAATACTAGCAGTGGCGGGTTTTTACCACCTCCATTAGCATCGATTCCAAACCGTCCTCAATCAGTTAATGATTTTAGTAATATTTTCAGTCGCAATGATCAGCAACATCATTTAGCACAATCATTCCAACAACAACAATATAATCAACCTGGTTCTCATTTACATCCCCAACAACACACACAGCAACCAACTACTCAATCTAATTTCTTCCTGGATTTATTAGTATTTAGCAACTGGATTGAAAATTTAAATCCTCAAGATACGATTACTATGATTGAATATTTATGTAATAGTTTACCGGTAGATATTTTATTGACATTTAAATCAAAGTTGGATAATCATTTACAAGCATCAAAACAGCAGCAACAGGCGCAGCCACAACAGGGTGGATATAATGTTATCCTGGGATATAATAATGCCTATTCACAAGATATATATCAGGAAATGGAACAACTCAATCTTCAAGATAAAGTGCAACAACAACAAACTCAGCAATTACATCAACCCAAACCAAGAAGCAAACCGATTGGATTTAGACAAAGTGGACAATATCTTAATTTAATGGAAAAGATATCCCGTCCAAGATCTGCCGAACCATCGCTTAATAACAGATATGGTGGATTACTCCCCCAACAACAACAACAACAACAACAATTCCAACAGCAACAACTTGATAGGGCAAAATCGCCTACTTCTCATTTATTCGAAAAGACAAATTTCCTACAATTGGCAGCCACTTCAAATCAACCACAACACCTCCAACAACATCTCCAACCCCAACAATCCCAACAACAATCCCAGCAACAACAATATGGAGGAAATCAATCATCGACCCAACAGACCCTCTCCCCATCCGGGAAGGGTACAACAGGGGATGACCCGTCATTAGACTTATCCAGCCATTTAAAACTCGGAGCATTAGCCACGATAAATTCCCGAGTCGCATTGGATTCAAATCGAAAACATCATCCAGGTGGAAGCAGTGGGGCATGGAATACCAATGCTCCACCTGCATCCCAAAAGCAGCAGGTACAGAATAGGTTGAATTATGAGGAATCGATTAATCGGGGCTTGAATTCTTCTAGCGTGCCTGCGAATATCCATCGGTTGAATATGACTGGGAATAATAGCAATAATATGAAGGCTGCTCAGGGGATGAAGAAGAAGACCAGCGGGGGGCAATTATCACCCCCGGCTGCGAATAGTGGTGGTGGTAGTGGTGGTGGTGCTGGTGGGACTACTAGTTCATCTATGCCGGCAGAAGTCACCAATATTGAGTTATTAAACAATGTACCTGCCTGGTTGAAGTTATTGAGATTGCATAAATATACTGAATGTCTTAAGGATATCCCCTGGCGAGAATTGATTGAGTTGGATAATGATGAATTAGAGGAAAGGGGGGTGGCTGCATTAGGTGCGAGGAGAAAGTTGTTGAAGGCGTTTGATGTTGTGAAGAGTAGTTTGGAAGATAAGAAGAAGAATGAAAATGAAGCTATTTGATATAGCTCATGTGTTGTTGTTTCCGGATTGTATTATTAATTGTTAAATTATTATTATTAAACGTATATTAAGTATTCCTGTATCATTTATAAAGTATTATTTATAGAAAATAAGTTCTAAGAAAGATTAGCTATTGTGCAAGTTGTATCTTCTTCTGTAGTGTATAAAAGAATGTATATCATTAACTTGTATATTAAGATTAAACGTTGAATTTCTAAGAAATAGCCATAATATATTATCCCACTCACTCACTTACATAACAACACAACAAGAATTTGTCTTTTTAGCTTGTTTATAAAACATTCTAGAAGAAGCAGATAATGCTTCTGATTTATCAACCAATGCATCCAACTTCTCACCTCTTTGTAAAACCCCTTCAATAGTTTTATGTAATACAACTTTAGTTTCATCTAATTCTTGTTGTACTTTCATTATAGAATCAGCTTGACTAGGATCCTGATATTTCTTTAAATATTGTTCCAATTGATCATAATTCAATCCTTGATTAGTATCATCAATCGATTGCCATTCATTACTTGGATGTAATGCCAAATATTCTTCTAAAACCTTATTGATTAAAGTATATACTGGTCTAACGGGATATTCTTTGTCAGTGATAATTACACACGCCAACCCTTCTGATCTAAGGTATGTATGACCGATATAATTACCTTCTTCTACACTTTGTCTTTGTCCTGGTTCTGTTCTTTGAGATACTGTTTCTGAAAAGAATGTCATGAATTGTGAAACTCCATTACGTTCAAAGAATGAGAATTGAGATAAATCTCTGGCTGAACATAATTCTAAACATTTGGAAGTCTTGTTGACTCTTAATATACCTATGTAATAGATCTTCATCTTGCTGAGTTGTGTATATAAGTTTAAGGGGTGCTCTGTTAGATATTGGAGGAGTATAAGAGATAAGAAAATGGCAACTAACAACTAAAACACACTTTGAGAATCCTAGCCCTGTGGTGAACGATCATAGGAGAGCAAAAAAAAAAAGCAACTCTCAGCCAAAAAAAAACACGAGTAAATTTTTAGCCATCAGAAGAAAAAAGATTTCTTTCTCTTTAACTCTGTGACTTTTGTTAACTATGAGAATTTATTTATTTACAATTTTGATGATCTGATCTAATTAATTAAATTAACTTTAATTAAATCAACCAAATCAACTCAAAGCAACTCAAAACAATTTGCTATTTTACTTTTTGATATTTGAACGACCCTTTTCATCCCTTCTTTCATAAGCAAATGAACCAATAGGAAACTGGTATTCTCTGATTGGTCATACTTTCATTTATTAACTTACAACCAACTACATTCCCAATCAGATCATAATGTCAAAAAAACTTAATCATAATAATAATAAATCACGAACACCAAATAATATACAACATTCCCAAAAACAACCAAGCATTAATATAATACAGAAGGAACAACGGACAGGTACCGTTAAACAAACAACACCCATACCAACATTAAAGGTCGTTCTTTTAGGTGATCTGGGTGTTGGTAAAACATGTCTTAGATCACAATTTGTTCATCATATCTTTTCAAATGCATATAAAGCGACAATTGGTGGAGATTATCTAACAACAACAATACTACTACCCAATCAAGACACCTCAGCATCGTCTTCCAGTACTACCATAACAACCCAACAAGATTCTTCACATGAAAATCTCTTAAAAACAACTCAACGATCAACTACTAATAAATCAACAACAACAAAAATAAATCTACAAATTTGGGATACTGCCGGACAAGAAAGATTTAATTCAATTTCTCAAGCATTTTATCGAGGAACAGATGTATGTGTCTTAGTATATGATATCACCAATTATGAATCAGTATTAAGTATACGAGATTGGTTTTCAAGATTTATTCAACATTGTCATGTCGATTTCCCCGGGGTGGTAATTGTTGGGAATAAGATGGATAAAATTAATGAAAGATGTGTAGATTTGGAAGAAATTAAAGATATCGTAACTTCAAATACTACAGTAGCTAATGTTGGTGATTATATTGAAGATTGGGATCTGGCATTATTAGAAGTTAGTGCTAAACGATTAGATCTTGTTGAAAAGTTATTTTCGACAGTGGGTAAAATTGGAATGGAATTAATACTGGGAGAAAGAAGTAAGAAATTACACGATTTTAGTATTGATCTACGAGAGACTCATCAACACTTAGAAGAGTCTAGGTCAGGTGGATGTGCATGTTGACTATTACTACTAGTCAGTTGTATGTGTGAGTGAGTGAGTGTTTTATTTAGAATATGATAGACTTAGAGAGATGAACTTGGTTTATATAATAATAAGCGTAATTAATTAATAATAATTTATGATAATTTATGTTGGAAATCTATTTACAATGAAACAATAATTGTCTGTCTGTCTGTCTCTTAAAGAAGATGAAAGTGTCTGTCTGTTATTGTAAGATCCAGAAAAACTTTTGTTGCAAAAAAATCAGAAAGGAGATTCTAAAAATAATTTAACAATTCTAATTTATTTTTACAAGATGAAAAATGCAAGTTAAGGAGATTGTTCTCTTAATTCTCAGTTTGTTCAATAGCTTCTTTAACAAGTTCTTCTTCAACAGAAACTTCTTCTTCAGCAACAACTGGATTAACAACAACCTCTTCAATAACAGTTGGTTTAACAATAACAACTTCTTCAAGTACAGGTTCAATAGCTTCAACAGCAGCAACAGCCTCAGTATTTACTTGTCCTTGTTGTTGTTGTAATTCTTCTTCCCCTTCTTCATATAATTCATCTTTATAATGTTCAGGATATCTCTTAAAACAAGATCTCATATTTTCAAATTTAGTAATACAATCAATACCCTTTGGTTCAGTTTCAGAAAATACAAAACAGGAGAAAGCTTCTTTGAATTCTTCGCCACATGGACCATGGGCCATTCCTCCTAAACATGGACAATCCCAATTGATTTCTCCAGTTTCTGGATTGAATGCGGCTTCTCCTTCTTTTGGTTCTTCACCTTCTGGTTGTTGTTGTTGTTTTACTTCAGATTCGGTTTCTGGTTGTGGTTCTGATTCAGATTGTTGTTTTGGTTCTTCCACGTCTGCGACAACAGTTTCTTCAGCCTTTGGTTGTTCTACTTCTGCGACTGGCTTTTCTTCAATAGGTTCTTCAATTGATACATCAAGGATAGATTCTGGTTCCGACACTTCCGCAATTTTTTCTTCAGTAACCTTTGGTTCTTCTTCAACAACTGCTGGTTCTTCAACAACTGGCTCCACAGCAGGAACAGAAACTGCTTCTGCAACCTTTTTAGCTTCTTCCACTACAGTCTCCTTCTCTTGTTCTACTTTCTTATTAAGATCCTTAAATTTTTCTCTAATATTAGAAACAGTATCATCATTAGCATCCTTCTGAGAATAATAAGCATATGCAATCACAGCAGGGACTAACCCAGCCAAAACATATACTGGATTAACATTTGTAGTTATGGTTGAAAAATTGTTATTGCCTCCCTTTGGTGGAGTATTAGTTGTGTATTTTCTGGAAATTTGAAGAGACAATCTTTTGGATGATTGACGAGAAATTGTTTGTCTAGCGATATGTCTATACATTGTTGTTGTTTTTATATGTATGAGTCTATAATTTGTACCTTCGTGGGAGATATGGTTTTTAGTAAGCTTCGCAATTCATCTGAAAATTTTTTTGATTGGAGAGAGAGAGAGTGAGTGAGAATTAGACAGACAGGCTTAATAATCAAAATGTCAGAAGAAAAAAAGAGATAAATTCATGGCTTATATACAGGACCAAACAGTACCTTACAGGTATTACAATATGTACTCTCAAGACAACAAAAGTTAAAATGAATAAATATCTATTAGATTCTATACTCTATTATTCCTATTCTATACGAAGAAACTACTCATCCATAGTATGTTTATTTAATAACCTTTCCCTTTTTATGTTTCTGTCTTAAAGCCTTTCAGGTAACGCCCAGGGCTAAAAAAACATTTTTCCGTTTTGTTGTTGATTTGCAGCTTAATCAGATTTTGCAACTGGTTCATCTTCAGCAATAACAGCTTCAACAACAGGAGCAGCAGCTTCAACAACTGGTTCTTCAACAACAGCAGCAACGACAACTGGTTCTTCAACTTCAACAGCAGCTTCAGCAACAACAACAGGTTCAGCAGCAGCAACAACTGGTTGTTCTTCCTTCTTTTCTTCAACCCAGTTGTTAAGGTTGGCAAACTTACCTTTAACATTAGTAACAGTGTTGTCGTCAGTAGATTCAATAGAGTAGAAAGCGTAAACAGTCATTAAACCTAAAGTGGCAGCTAAGAGTGGATAAGATGGGACTCTGGTAGCTATTGGAGAGTAGGTAGCAGCAGTGGTGAACTTTCTAGTAGCGATCTTGGATTGACGAGCAATAGTTTGTCTGGCGATTTGGCTGAACATGTTGATGATGAGTAGTTGTTGTAAGTTGGAGATGTTTAAAATCAATAAGAAAAAAAAGAAGCAAGATAAGGCAAAGAAGAAAAAGAAGTTTGTGAAATATTTATACTTGATGAGAGTGAGAGACCGAGAGACAGAGGGACAGAAGGGACCCAATGAGTCTAATTTTTTTTTTTCAACCGTCGAATTATTTCGGTAACGCTAAGAAAATTTTTTATTAAAAAATTATTATTATTTTTTCATTTTGACATGGAAAAATACGGTCAAATCAGGTAAACAAAGAAAAAAAGAAATTCAAAAAAATTCTAGAGTTAATTTATGATTTGCCACACATAAAAAAGATCCTCTCACACACAATTAATAAATTATCTCGGACCCGGGCAAATTCGTGTACAAAGGGGTTCTCATTTTATATGCAGTATTTCACATCTGATTTCACATTTCCTAATCACCGACCTATTTATAAAGGATATGTGTAACCGAGGGAATTTCAAATAATAATACTCTCTTTCTGTATAGCCGCCAGAACAGTTTTCTTACAATAGACAGTTTCATTGTTCTTATATACTTGCGCCTTATCGAATTTATGGGGAAAGAGCGAATCACCTGAAATTGCGTTAATGAAGTGTAAGTGAAGTTCACCAAAAATCTTTTCATATATTGATCCCATTTATATATACAAGAATGTCATTATAAAGTATCTCACAATCGACCCCATAATATTTGATTATTTCTAACGATCAAAACCATACAAAATAATATTATCAACTAAACTTCTCTACATGTATGACAGTGCCTTCAATTAGGAGAAGAATGCACATTATATGCCTCCTAAATCCCACCTCAAGCATCTAATACATTATGACTAAACAAACCCAGGCTTCCTTAGACATTATTCCTCACCTAGAATATCTAATATCTTTCGACAAATTAGGAACGGACACATCTTCCTCATATTCCTCCACCACACCAGATTGAGNTCGACAAATTAGGAACGGACACATCTTCCTCATATTCCTCCACCACACCAGATTGAGCATATACTGCAAAACTCAATGAGACTAAAACCGCTCCTATGGAAATAGCACCTACTCTTCTGAAATATTTTAAAATATTTTCCCGTTTAACTTCATCTTTATCAAGATCTCGCATATATTGACGTAATTTTTGATTTTGGGATTTGATTGAGTATTGACGAGTTTGGAGGGTTGTGATATTTATTATTGAGGAGGAATTGATTCTTGATTTTATTACTCTTGAAATCATTTTGTAATTGATTGGTTAGGGTTTGCAAAGCAACTAAAGTCTCTAAAACAAGGAGTTTAAATTTTTTTTTCGTTAGTGCAAGAAAATCTGGGACTTCTCATTCGCAGAAACTAAACTATTTTTGCAATCGAAGAAATTACTATTACATTTTTGTATAAACTAAATGTTCTATAAATAATCCAATAACTCATCTAAACTAATCGCATTATAGTCAGAATTTTCAAAATCATTATCTCGTGTCACCCATAAAACATCATCACTAAAATAGCACCTGGCTTTAGAATTTCGAACATTACTTAATTCATAAACAGGGTATCCCAATTTTGTAGTCTTATTTTTCTTCAAAATCATTAAAATCCCATTGTCGAGACAATAATCAGAAACTACATCTTTGAATGATGTCGTTAATTGATATGAAGGTATTCCGTTTACATTAGTACTATTTGATTGTTTTCTTTCAATAAATAGTTCGTCAATGCTTGGGACTGTTTCTCCGTTTATTCGGGGTAAAGCGATCTCATCTACTGATTCAAAATTAGTTTGAATCAAATGTAAGGCTTTATTAATATACCATTTAATACAATCATCCAAAATGTTATCCAGATCTTCTTCGACTTTTGTCTCTTTTTCCCTAGCCGACTCTTCTTCCAGGGAGTAATTGGCTTCATCCAGGGAATAACGTTCTTCATCCAGGTCATTCTCTTGTAAATTGTTCTCTTCGTAAGCATTGAAATTTTTCATTTTGGATACAAAACATCCAAACCAACTTTCAAACCAACCAGCTAATTTTTCAGGCTCACTATTATGGATTTCAATCATCCGTAAAATCCAAGGATTAAATACTCGATATTGCAACATATTCAACGAAACTTCCGATCCCATAATTTTACTATCAATATTCAGAAACACTACATCAAGAATATTCAATAACTTCTCACTGTCAGGATTCTCCCATTGGTCCAGATAATCTTCAAGAAGATATGCTAATGACTTTGCAGTAGTCAAAGCCAAAGAACGACCTTTTTTGGGAGAATATTCGTCAAATAATTCAATCCAAGTTTCATCAAGTTCTATCATACTTTTCTCAAGTTCTACATCATCTCTCCTCCAAGAAACTTGTGGTCGTGAATAATCAAATGCATATGGTCTACGTGGAGTATTTTGAACTTCTTTTGCAAGCTGTTGCTTATGTTCGATATCACTTGCAAGACGAATCCATATAGACTCATCATTCCTATAGTCCAACAATGGTATAAGTTTGTCGTATATAGTATCAAAAAGTCGTTCAAATGGGCCAGCTTCTTCAGGGCAGAGCCAACCCAAATACCAACCAATCTTTCTCGGATTATTATGAGGATTAACCAGTTCCCAAAATTCTTTCAGGAATGGTTTCCAATGCTCAACTATCGTGATTAAATGTGGAACGATTACATCTTCAACTACTCTTACTTTAATCCAATAATCTCCATTTATAAAAATATTTTTGGAAAGAAATTTTCGATATGCTCCTCTTGTATTCAAATCATCACTATCATAACATCGATCACGAATATAAGTGGATCATAATTTTAGTAACAGATAAAGTATAAGTAGCAAAAGTACTAGTTAGAGTACAAATTCAGAGTTCCGATCTGATTCATTATCATTTCTAAAAAGGAGAAACCGTTCATCGTCTAGATCAATGGAACTAAAATCATCAAAAGGATATTTTGACCCTCCAACATCGGGAGGATGGTAACGTAAGTGCATTTTAAATTCAGATAACATGTGTTCATATAATAATTTATCATAATCACATATTGGCTCTGGTGGATTGAACTTACGATACTGTTTTGCCCAGTCTTGCAATACTCTCATGGGCATTTCGTACTCCAAGTCAAAGTCAAAGTCATCATTACGCCTTTCTAAGGTGTCGAAAAGAACGACTTCATCGATAAATTCTTTTATAACTGACAAAAAGACTTCTGGAGCTAAGGGGTGGGATACACAAGAAGGTTGACATAAGTCCTGAAGAAACCTTGATGTAAGACCTGGGTCAACATCAATATCGAGTTCGATTGGTGTTTTAAACTTAATCCAATCTTTTACCACCTTTAAAATAGCTTTCAATTGCTCAGTTTCAGTGTTTATGATAGTAGTTTTGCTTTGTAAATCCTGAAGTTCTGAATCAATTGAATTTTCTTTCTCAACTACCAGTTTCAATTGATCATAAATTGATTTTAATTTTTCATATTTAACTTCTGCATCTTCTAATAATTGTTTGTCTTTATTCTCAACGGATAATTTATCGGTAATTTCTTTATATTGAGAGCCATAAAGTTAAAAGTTAAAAAGGTTTAGTGCTTAGTGTAATTTATTAAACGTCTTTAGAGATTTAGTCTTCACAGTATGTTCATCATGAAACTCAACTACTCTATCTACTTCCTGTTCTTCATCTGACTCATACCTTTTCTTTTCCTTAATTCCTCCCACTCCTAATCCCTGTGGTCTTAACTTTGTTTCAATTGGGGCCACAATACCTGTTTGTTCCGCTCCAAGACCTTTACCTTCTTGATATCCCATCTTGAATAACAATTTCGCACCTATTCCATATCGTTCCACTGTTTTGGAAGATGGATCTTCCATTGATGGTGATTTCTTGTTCCATAGTATAGGATTGATGGATGGCTCTTCATCGTCATCAGGAAGATCTAGACTTATAAGTAGTACATAACGACTACGGTAGTCTACCTTAACCCATGAAGTGGAACTACCACCCATTGACGAGTGATTTACATTTTGATTATTCCCATCATCTGCCTTCTTGAATGATAGACTTCCATATTGTGACATTGAGATTTAGAAATGATAAACAAGAAGAGGAGGAAGTATGACAATTTAGGTGATGTTTTTTTACAACCACCTTTTTTTTCTCACTGTCTCGTAAAATTTATAGTATGTAAAGCTCTCTATGGATGCAAAATTTCTATACACTTTTTGTTCTTTTAATTAAATCCAATAATTCCTTTTCTTTACCTTCATTGAATTCTTCTTGAACTTGAATATGTTCCAATCCTTCAGTTAATACTTGAACAATTTGAGGTAATTCATATTCACCCGGTAATTTGAATTCTTTCGGGATAAAATCACCATATTTAATCATCCAATTTCTACGTCTTTCAGATTCTTCCCGTTCAATTCTATATAAATCCTCTTGTAAGAATTCAGTTAATTTCTTTAAGAATTTACGAGGATATGAATATAATTCATGATGTAATTCTGTCAAGTATTTTGATTTATAAACATCTATGAATTGGGTATAATGGAATGCTAATTCTTGTAATACTTCTGCATATTGTTCACATGGGGTCTTGTTAGGTTGTTGATCAATTGATATTTTTAGTATTCGTTTTTCACATTCAGATAATAAGATCATAAATTTAGGTAGTGCCAAAGTCTTGTAATTTCGATAATCTTCTAATTCCTTTTCAATCATATTTATAGTATTTTCAATATTGGAATTGTTTGATGTTAGAAATTTATGAGCCCTTTCTTCATTCTTAAGAATTATTCCATAGACAGCATTAAGTTCTTTAGCTACATCTGGCAATTCCTGGGCATCACCAGCTAATACTTCTAAATTTATGCCTGTTCTACTACCAGCTGAAAGTAAATCTACTGCTTTCACACATTGATCATAATGATTAGTCATCATTTCTAAGAGGGAGACAAGTTCATTTTCCAAGGACAGATTCTCTCTTAATATGGTTGCTATCAAACCATTAGATTCTTTTGATTGGGATTTGAGTTCTAATTGAATTGGAGCCAACAGGTCAAATAGTTTCACTATCTTTGAATACTGCTTTTTCATACGAGTATGAGGTTCTTGAATTGTTGTTTGGTAAGATTGTTGTATTATAGTTTGAATCTTCTTGCAATTGGATTTATATATTTCTATATTATCTCGTAGTAGATTTATAGATTCATTCGATATGAAATCAGCTAATGCCATTGGAGATTCATTTTGATTATTCTCTAATAGAAATGCTGGAATATTTGTATGTTTTAACTGTAAGATAATCTTATCTAATTGATCAATGGTTGGATCTAATATGGATTCAAATTCATTAATATATTTATCTATCTTTTCCAGTATAAGTTTCTCCAATGATTCCAAAGCTTTATTAATGATATCATATTGTCTCTTTAAGGAATCGAATAAGAATTCAGCTGCTTCTAAAAGATCAGGTAATCGAAAGGATAATTCATTCGCGGTGTTATGTAACGATGCTTGGGCAATTGTACATAATTTCTGTGCAGTTTCTAAAGTTACTTGTGCATCTCGAGACCATCGTATTGCGTCCTCCTTTGAAGCGATTATAGCGCCATTGCTCATCTCCTGGAGGTTTTACACTTAATTAAAGCTATGAAATGAAAGGAGTTGAACAGAGTAACTTATTAGAAAGTTAAGTATACTAATATGCAGGATATTGGTTTTTCATTATGAGTCTGGAAAAATTCTTTTGGCTGATTGACAACAGTCTTCAAACATCTCTTCTCTTCTTCTCATCATAGAATAGGAAGTATAGAGAAAAGGAGAATAATGACCGATGCATTGCCACTTAAAGCCTTACACAAGGCAACCACCAATAAGGAACCAATAATATTCTTTAAAGAAACCGAAGCAGGTGAAAAAGAACAAACTGATTCTATCAAAGAAGCAACTGATGTTCAATTTGGAAATGAGAAAACTGTAACATTCAAACTAGATTCAATTACGAAATTCTATAATGAAGATAAGCCACAAGACTTACGATCAGTTGTATTCTGTTGGTTGCATGATAAATCCTCAATTGTTGATTATAAAAATGAATGTTCTGAATTGGGTATTGCTGATTTTAAATTCTTAGTAAAGACAGAATTGACAACTTGGCTTAATGGGAATTCAGATTCTTGTACTTTTAATAAAGAAGAAGATACTTCTAAGAAAGCATTGGATTCAAAAGTTGTTTCTGAAATAGCTGGAGCTGATACAACTTCTAAAAAACATAAATTAGAAGATCCTCAAATGGAAAGAATAAAGAAATTTGAACGAGATTCAATAGATCATAATGCTGCATTAAGAGGAACTAAGAATATAGATTTTGGATATTTGATTTCAGATGCAAAGAAGTTCTTACATCAATTAAAACGTGCCAAAACCTCCAGTCAAAATTATGCAAAAAATTCAACTGGTACTACTACTACCAAGAAACAACCAATTATTATTGTATCTCCAGCCACTACTGCGTTATTATCATTATCCAACATCAAGGAATTCCTTGAAGAAGGCAGATTCAAAGAGCCAATTCCAAGTAATAGACCATCAGAAGGATTGGTCACCATAAGACATCCTTCAGATACTTTAGTCTCTGCAGCACAGCAAATCATGGTGGTTGATAATGTTGATATGTTTTCAAAACCAGATTATTGGGATCGAGTAATTGCGATTTTTACAACTGGTCAAGCTTGGCAATTTTCGAAATATAAATATTCTCAACCTGATAGATTATTTCAAAAATATGCTGGGTTTTATTTTGGATATCTGGGAGATCCATCTCCTCAACAAATCAAAAGTTGGAATGTTAATGAGATTAAAGTTGATAGAGGTGATAAGAGATTTAGGGATAAGATGATTGTAAGAGACTTTTGGGCTGAAATTGATAAAATTCTTATAAACAAAGGATATGGTAAGCCATATTAAGCTCTCTCCTTTTTCCAAGAAAGATAATTTGTACTATAAAATACATGATTTATATACGGAGTTTTATATTATTTACAGGGTAGATTATTTAAAAGTCTTTTCTAAATCTATAAACATTTGATAAATTTCATCTGGAGTCATAGAAGTGACTTTTCTAGAAGTTGCACTTCTAATAGCGTATTTCCCACTTTGTATATCCTTATCTCCAAGCATGATGATATAAGAATACCCTTTGCTAATTGCTTCCTTGACTCTATTACCAACAGTTTCTGATCTTGTATCAACATCAACAAAGAAATTATGTCCAGTAATTGGAGAAATTGATCCTTCACAATCAAGAATATCACCTGAAAGTTTCTTCTTTAATGCTTCTGCAGCACTATGATGAGTATCATTAACGGGCACAATGATAGCTTGTCTTGGATTAATCCAGAATGGCCATTTACCTTGATAATGATCAATCAAAATAGCCAAGAATCTTTCCAAAGATCCAAATACTGCTCTATGAACAAGAATAGGTTGATGATCACGAGCTCCATCTTCACCAATATATTTCAATTCAAATCTGGCAGGTAATTGGAAATCTAATTGAATTGTACCTACTTGATGTTTCTTTTGAAAAGCATCAGTTAATAAAACATCAATTTTAGGTCCATAAAATGCTCCATCACCTTCTCTAATTTCCCACTTCCCTTCACCAGCGGTTGAATTAAGGACTTGTTTCAATTGTTCTTCAGCATTATTCCAAGTTTCAATATCTCCCATAAATTTATCTTCTGGTCTAGTAGATAAGAAAAATTCAATATCATTAACACCAATACCAAAAACTCCATAAGTATCTTTAATCAAATTAATAGTATTTTTAATTTCTTGATCAATTTGACTCAAATCACAAAAGATATGTCCATCATCTTGATGAAATCTACGAACTCTAGTTAATCCCGAAAGGGCACCACTAGCTTCATTTCTATGTAAGGATGAAAAATCAGAAAATCTAACTGGCAATTCATTATAAGATCTATCGAATTTTGAAAATATCAAACAATGTCCAGGACAATTCATAGGCTTTAATCCATATTCATGAGCACCCTCTTCATGATGACATTGTTCTTCCTTGGTAGGATCATTTCCAATAACTTTAAACATATCCTCTTTATAATTTTCCCAATGACCTGATTTTTCCCATAATTTAGTCTTATAAATCAATGGAGTTATAACCTCTTGAAAACCATATCTTGTTTGCTGATTCTTCATGAACGTGACAAGCGTATTTATTATTCTTGTACCATGAGGAAGAAAGAATATAGATCCAGGAGAGGTTGGATCAGTGGTATACAATTCTTGTTTTACCGCAATGGATTTATTTGCTTGGGTTGATGAGATTGGTTCTTTTTGATGTGGTTGTGTATGTTGTGCTTGAGAGTAGAATCTAGTTAAGCTCAATTGCGGAGATTGACATCTCGCTCTAAGTATTATTGTCCTACTAACTTTCATTTATTAGCTGATGACGGAATCTCATCTTATCTTATGAAAACTCCCTTTGAAAAATTTAGTCCAATTAATGCGGCCATTGAATAATCTGAAAAAATATTTGTCCTTTGTTTCATTAGTCAATTCGCTATCATAGAATGTCAGTACAAGGTCATGTTATACCAATTTAGGCTTTAGAGAGAAATGGACTTATTTGCTAGATAAAATACTTAGGATGTTGACTAGAACTATATACCAAGAGTAGTTGTAAAAAATAGCTTGAAAGAGAGCACACAATTGCGGTAGTTGAAGATATCCTTAATTAGAGCGCTTTTAGAGTTTCATTATCTCAGGGAATGGTCAGTCTCTATCAGCGAATACCCGCGGACTGACATTATACGTCCGCTTGGACTGTATTGGTTTCTACAGATGGAGAGTCATCAAATTCAATCATTTTGGCATTTCTTTATTTACTCTTACACGACTTCTATATTACTTTCAGGAGTAGTATCTGCCACTGGATCAGGCGAAGCCACTGCACCGGTGGCAATCACAGTATTTGGTTTATCCTTATTAACATCCAAGTCCTTCTTCTTCTTACTGTCGTTATCTTTATCATGCGCTTTCCTTTCATCTCCATCTTTATGTCTATAACTAATATACTTCACTTTAAACCCACTAAATGTTTTAAATTGTGTTGGTTTTTTCACCCATTTTCTAGCCGGTTTACCTGATTTATCCAATGCATATAATCCACTACTTATACTATTCATAGTTAATCCAGAAGTACTTGATTCCTTCAAACCAGAATTGATTTTGAAACTGCTTATAGCTTGACCAGAACCTAGCTGTGATAAATTAGATGGATTGTTACCATTATTGTTATTATCATTGGGTTGTGGTGATGATCGTTCCAGGGATAGTGATGATTGTGTACCTGCTCGACGTTCTTCTGCTACTAATTTCTTTAACCGGGATTTTGATATTGGAGTTGGGAATTCTGGTAATGTACTTAGTATTCTACTTGGGACTTTTAATTTAACCCAATATCTCTTTGGTGGTGCCATATTGCCTTCTTATATTCTTACTTTGTTAAAGAAGAGTGGAAAAGGAGTGTTGTGTTGTTGACTGACCCAGATATTATTTTTTATGATGTTGTTTGACTCGAGACTCTTCCAAAACCTCATTTCAGAGGACTGAAAAAAAGATTAAGCAAGTGAAAGAAAAGACACGACAAGTACAGTTCAAGCTAAGCTGCAAATGATAACAGTATGACAAGTACTGGTATCGAATTTAATGACGGTAGACGTTTTTCAAGATTGGATTTATTTTCCAATAATTTAAAATTAGATATTAGAGCTCATCAACGGACTTATGAAGGAGCCTATACCAGAACCGCAATTGGATGTTTATCATTTTCAATTTTAATTATTAAATTGTTTTCTAAAGAATTTTTACCTATTGGTACAATATATACCATATATGGATGTTTGGTATATTTTATTGGTGTTTATAAATCTTCAAGAGTTGATTTTTATTATAGTCCTGATAAACATATGGAAATGTATCAAACTGGAGGTGATTATGTACTTTTACTTACAATAATCAGTTTATGCAGTTATATTACTTTGCTTGTGTTGATATTAAAAATGTGAGTAGGCATGAGCTATATCCAAAAGATCTATATACAGAAGGAAAAAGAGGAATAAACTACGCTACAGTACCTAACCCAAATACAATAAATTGAACCGATAATTGAAGTGACCAGAATGCCACCTTTCTCATTCTTACTAATCTCGCTTCTTCGTTGGCAACATAATCAACAAAGTTATCATATACTTCTTCAGAAATATCATCCATCAATAATGAATCATAAATGGTCCAAGATCCACTAAAATCATGAAGATTCTTAACTACCCGATTATGAATTTCTATAAATGTATTCTTGGAATTTATATATGCCACAATTGGTCGAATAAGTGCATAATTGATATATGAAAGTTCAGGTGCTTGGAATGGAACAGATGCTCTGACATTATGTAACCTTATGGTCAAGTCTAATACAAAATATCTCAGAATATCAGTATAATCATCCAGAGTTAATCTAGTATGCATATCAGGGTGCTTTGGGTTTCTTACATCTGGATTTTTATATCTTGTTGCTTCTTTCTTTATAGATTCAGCTATAATTGATACAATTTCTTTTACACTTAATTCATTAGTTTCTTGAGGAACCATAACATCACCAATCATATCTACTCTTCCACTAGAGATCCAACCGAAAGGGCCTTCCAAACCAGTATTCAAATGATCGATATTTAATGCATCAACTCTCATTCGTGTTACTCGTTTCCATTGATTTGTGGCTCCATCGTCATTAAAGTCAGTTAATCTTTGTTTCTTATGAATTGTAAATAATGAATCATCATATGATCCGCTCATTATATTTGCATTCAAAAAATCATAAAATAACCAATGCTTCCTAAGTTTTGATAATTCACAATTATAAATCGCAACATCAAATACTCTGAATCCATTTGGTTGCATTAATGTAAATAATACATCTTCCATTTTAAAATCGTCAAATTCGAAATCTCCAGGTTGATAAATATTCTTATAATTCGTGGCATCATCATCTGGTTCCCAATAGACATGGGTTCTATCCACAACTCCTCTCATACCTTTAATTTCCATAGTTTCAATAATCCCAGTTCCATTTACCCATTTACTGAAAGATAATGTGACATTGACTTCTTCCATAGTTAAATCAAATTGAGTATAATTTCCATCATCGGCATCTTCTTCAAACATATCCATTTGCTGTTCATCAATTGGTTCATTCTTCTTCAAACTTTCTTGATAAGCTTCAGCTTGTGACCCTTTCACGAATTTTCTAATCTTCTTGGGACGTCTACTTACAAAACATTTCCGAAAACTGATTTTCCCATCTGACCAACCAGGTACGATTGCATGTTCGAAAACAACTGTTAGATTGGAGTTTTTGGTGAGGAACTCACCTAGTTTCCTCGCGACGAATTCTTGAGCGAAAACAGTATTAGCGGTGAATATAACAACTGACATAAATGTAGTGGTTGCTACAAAGAATAAGAATACATTCCCCACGACAAGCCAGGAAAAGAATGCGGAATAGTCATCGGTATTGTAAGGCTTGTTTGATCTTTTGAGTAGCCATCTTATTCGTACTCTTATTCGAGAGAAGACTGAATTGGCTTGATTCAATAGTTGTTCTTTGGTATAGTTGTGGTGATGTGTGGGTTGGTTATTATTGACAACGGTTTGATCATTATTTACAGGATTGTCATTGGTAATGGTTTCACGCGGTTTTGCAGGATTGTCATCGGTAATGGGTTGATGTGGGTTTATGGGTTTCTTTGGGTCTAGTTGTTGTAATATTCGACTGTGGTTGCATGATATATTTCTGACAATTGGAAATAGTTTGTTCTGAAACAATAGATGGTTGCCATTTTTAGGAACTAGCCCGGGCTTTAGACCCAGGCATAAAACACTCTTGGATAGACCAAGTAGTCTATGCCTAAACATTGTTTTTGAATTGGCAAGGATGACAACAGTGATCTTTTATTTGATTTGACAGATTAATTGAGCTGATGTGCAAAAGGATAATTAATTGTGTAGTTCAGGAATGCCGTTTAAAAGATCAATTTTTCTGATGGCCCATTTTCGCAATCATCCCGTACCAGAATTATAAAAGTATAGGGGGATGCGGTCGTTCCAAGGGGGGGTTGCGGTGCTACAGAAAAATATTTGAATCAATTCATCAGCAAAAAGGAGTCAATCAATTCTCGGTGCAAGGTAGTATCTACTTAATCGAATATATGTATATTATCGTTGTAACTCCCCTGGGACTTTGTACCAGAATTGTTTGTTTTGAAGTAGAATCTAAGAATACTGTAGCTGCAAATAGATTTCACGAGCAATACAAACTTTATACAAACTACAAAGTTACTGAGTCTATTTGTTATTATACCAATTGACGAATACTTTTTAAAGTTTGAATGCCGAATTTCAAATTCGAAGTTTTGTTTTCTAGGAATCTTCGTAGAGTCATACGGTTGTACAACAGTTCGGACAAATTTAATAATCGGGTCGGTTAATGGTGGATATCAGTGCGATTGAAAGTTTAAGAGAAAATCTATTACTATCGCCGTGCCCAGATAATTCCGTTCAAAGATATAGTTTGATAAGAAGAACCGGAGGAATAAAAAATTAGGAGTTAACTCCATATTATTAGTCACAATGAAGTATTTAAGGTTTGCAATCTCCACCTTAGTTCCAAGCTAAAATATGTTTTGTTCCTTAACGCACCCCACCTTAGTATTATGGGTGGTCCACCAATTACATTTGGGAAAGAATTCCGGGAAAAATATTTCACATTGCTTGATTCTATATCTATTCCTGTAAATCATGGGTCTTTGGGTATGGTCCCCACTCCAGTCTATGAGAAGTATATTCAAGCAATCGCAGATCAGTATAGCTATCCAGATAGATCTTCTTTTCATCAACAAAGTTGTCAATTGTGATTACCGAAGTCTTGTATTTGTTGACAATGCATCTACAGCGGTCAACACGATATTGAGAAGTTTCCCTTTTGATAAAGGTGACAAAATTGTTATACAAAGTACTGTGTAAGGTGCTTGTGGGAATACTGTCAAATTCTTGAAAGACAGATTTGGAATTCAATATGCAGAAATCCCATTGAATTGCCCTATGACTGATAGTGAAATATTAGAGAAATTTGAAGAGATCTTTAAGAAACAATCACCTAAGATATGCATGTTTGATACAATTTCTACCATGCCCGGAGTTATTCTCCCATTCAAACAATTGATTGAATTATGTAAGAAATATAACGTGCTTTCGTTGGTCGATGGTGCTCATGGTGTTGGTTGCATTACTCAGGATTTATCAGAAATGGATCCAGATTTTTATGTCAGTACTTTACATAAATGGTATTTTGTTCCATTCGGATGTGCTGTAATGTATGTCGCACCCAAACACCATAACTATATTCATACTTTTCCTATCAGTCATTCCTATATATCTGAAGAAACTGTACTTTCTAAAGAAGATCAGCTCAATCAATTAGTGGATAGCTTTTTCTTTATCGGAACTAAGAGTTTTGGCCCAATTGCAGTAATTCCTGATGCCATTAAATTCCGGGAAACTGAATGCGGAGGAGAACGGGCAATTTTCGACTATTGTCATAGCTTGGCAAAACGGGTTGCCGAAAGGATTTCATCGAAATGGGGTACTTCGTATTTAAAACAGGCGGACGGACCAACGTTAATCAACACTTTGGTAAATATTGAAGTCCCTACACAATACATAGGACTTGATGTATCTGCTTTGAAGAAAAATTGGAGTAAATTTCTTAAAGTTGTTCATACCAAAATGGTAGATGAATACAATGCATATACTCCAAGTATTAATAACGGGAAATTATATGCTCGTTACTCGTGTCAAATTTATAATGAGATTAGTGATTATGAGATTGCTTCCGAATGTTTGATTAAGGTCTTGAAAGAATTTGTTGAATTGGAACCAGAATTGAAAATTGTGAAAAGCTGAACCTCCCTTTTCCTAGCAGTTTCTTTTGTTTTTAGATATTAAATGAAATTAAATCTGTTTTCTTTATATTTTCATCCTTTATTGATTTTGAGGTGTAATTGCTGCAAAATTGGGTTTCTGTTACGGTAATATTGCTATTCCTGGTAAAGTGGCGTACATCGTGACGCGAAACTAGCAAATGTACAATAGAATCGTTTATCTTTTTACACGTAAGAACAATGTTCGAAGCTTTTATTGTTTTTGTTTTTAACAAAGCTTTCTTTCGATTTTGACGATACAGTGTATTTTGCATTTCGGTGTACGCCACTTTAGTGCTTCCTTATTTGCTATTCCTGGTAATCCTTCCTTGATTCTCCACTTTGCTCCGGTATTTGTTGTTCAAGAATGGACATTATTCAGTTGGTTAATACGATTGTTATTTCAATGAATATTTGTTTCCGATATCTTTATCTAATCATTTCACTTTGGTATTGTTATAGGTGGCTGATTGGAAACTGTGGTTTTCATGCAATAGCGGGGATACTTTGGTTTATCTGGTTGATAAGATATCTTAACTATGGTTCGGTCAGTTTCTCGGTGAAATAATATTTCAGTTAATGGGTTTTGATCTGGTATTTTGCAGCCTATTTGCTAATCCTCAGTAAATTGTGGTTGGCTGCAAATCCTTTGTAGATTTTGAAGATTACAAATCAAGAGGTCTTTTCCACAATTTCAGAGATTATTTTTTTTATATTTTATACTTGTTATTCTTTAGTTTATTTTAGATCACTTTCTAGTGTAATATGATCACATTGTTTTATCCCAATTCAATTAGTAATACAAGATTATTTAAACTCAGAACATTTTCTTACTTTTTCATTTTGTGAAGTGAATCTGTTGTAAGGGTCCCTTTCTCGGAAAATATTCTCGTTTTCCGATCTGAAAAATTTTGACTCATAAAAATTGACTCCATTATTATTTAAGTACGAGCCAAATCTTGAGTCACTATGGTTTCACGTTCTTTTTCACTGTATCACTATCCAGTCATGTTTGGTCATCAATTCAGGGATAAATACTTCAGCACCCTTTCTTCATCTGTTATCCCAGTCAACCATGGTAGTTTCGGAACTGTTCCTTCCCCTGTCTATGATGTGTATCTTTCCAAGCTTGCAGAATATTCAGAATTTCCAGATAGGTTCTTCAATCTTCATCAGAAGGAAGTTTACGTTGATTCTTTAAAGGTTCTTGCTCAAGTTTTGCACTGTGACTATCGTGATTTAGCAATGGTTGATAATGCAACAACTGCATTAGCCACAGTTTTGAGAAGTTTTCCATTCCAAGCGGGGGATACTTTTGTTTACCACAGTACTGGATATGGTCCTAGTAAAAACTTACTTTACTTCATGAGAGATCAATATAAGATAAACTTAGTTGAAGTTAAAATAACTTATCCTATCAGTAACAAGGAAATAGTTTCAAAGTTCAAAGAAGCATTCGAAATTCATAAACCCAAGTTATGTATGTTTGATGTTATTTCAAGTATGCCAGGAACCGTTATGCCTTATGTCGAATTAATCCAATTATGCAAACAATATGACGTCCTTTCTTTGGTTGACGGTGCTCATGCAATTGGAAATATTCCTCAAGACTTAGGCAAACTTCAACCCGACTTTTATACCAGTTTGATGCATAAATGGTATTTCGTTCCAAGACCAAGTGCTGTATTATACGTTAATCGTAAGCATCATACCAAAGTTCAAGCATTCCCAACCTATGATTACTCCACTAAGGAAGATGTTGATGAGAATATCTTGATTGATAAGTTTTCATTCTGGGTCTATCGTCATCATGTTTCAATTTGGACTGTTCCTGATGCACAGAAATTTAGAGATGAAGTATGTGGTGGTGAAGAGAATATTTATAATTATTGCCATTCTTTAGCTATGGAAGTCGGTAAACTCATTAGCGAAGAATGGGGCACTCTGTATTTGGATGATGAGGATCAAATATCAACTATGGTTAATGTCGAAGTCCCCGTTTCTCCTAAACTTCTTGAAAATTGGACTGATGTTGAACCAAAATTTAAGAAAGAATTATTTGGTAAGAATACCTTCGTGCCTTGTGTTATTCATAATGGGAAGTTGTATGCTAGATTCTCGTGTCAAATATTCAACGAAATAAGCGACTACCAGAGTGCTTCAAAGTTACTCTTAGAAGTATTGCAACAATTAGAAGAAATCTACCTTCATGAGAATTTCTCAACCTCTTTAAGTTTGTAGACTAGTTATAGACTATATTTACATTCGAATTTTTAATAACTTCGATTTATTAATTAGACTAAGTTAAAGAAAATCTATACAAAACACGGAATGACGAATTTAAAAATAGGAACCTTTTCTATAGAGAACCAGAGTAAGAAACAATTCCCTATAAGTATTTGAAAAAAATATTTCCCACAAAGTGCATCTTGATTTAAAATCCACATTGATTAGGATATTGTCTATCAGTCAATGGTTGTGGGAATAAACCATTGAGGTTTAATTTTTGAAGATCCCATTCTGGAGCATTTTCAGTTTTCCAATTCCAGAAGATCCAGCCTCCGGTGTATTCAAATGCATCCAATTGAGCTTCAATGTATCTTCTAACATTAACCTTATAATCTTCTGGCCAAGTAGAAATATTTTGGAGTGGTGCACAAGATCCAATATACGGAGAATTGTCATAAGCCCCTTCATATCTAGCACCTCTTCCAACACCATTAAGCCACGGGGCACAATCGGTCAAAGCTGCAGACCATTCACCAGCAATGTTCCAGTGGTATTCTTGTTTAGCATCCCAACCCCAGTTACAAGCAACTGAAACATGGGCGTTAATATCACGTTGCAATTCTGGAGCGGAGAAAACTTGATAGTGATGGTGATCAATGACCACATTAAAATAGTTTTGATCCAGAGTCATAAAGTTATTCCAATATCCGGATGGTTGGAACGCATCATGGATAATTACTGGACTGTTTGAACCGCCTTGACGTAAGTTGTTATAACCGGTAGTAAAGAAGTTTTTCAATTTGTCCATATCCAAAACTGGACCTAATGGCTCATTTACTAATTCGATACCAATAATGACGTCACTGTACGATTCATCGGCATATTTGGTAAAGACATCACCCAAGACTTTGATTGTGAAATCTGTATTATCACCATCTTGGAAACGATAAGAATCTCTTAAACCAGAATTATCGAACCCATTTTGAGATCCTGGAGCACCATGTAAATCGATCCAAACTTTTAAATTGTACGTTCTACACCATTCGATGGCTTGGTCTAAATACTCAACTTGACCTTGGACATATGGGTCATTATCTTTCAAGTCAAAAGCCCAGTATCCAATTGGAATTCTAACCATATTTAAACCCAATTCACTCATTTGTTGAAAATCAGCTTCAACATAATAAGAACTCCAATGTTGGTTCAATCTGTTAAAAGCCAAGTCTTTTCCTAAAGCTTGGGTAAGATGATATTCATCTGGAGGAATATTGGATTGGTCACCATTTGGTCCTGCAAAGGTTTCGAAAATGGATGGGGTGAGGTATGGTTCTAGGAGTAGCCAACCACCAAGGTTAACACCTCTCATGATGTCAGAAGAGTAGTCCCACGTGATTTGTTTCTTGTGAAAGACCTTTAAGTTATTGCTTGGGGATAGCGGATTTGTAACAACAACTGCGTAGGTAGCTTCAAATACGCAGGCAAATGATAATAATAGTTTTGCTAACTTCATCGTGTGGGGAGATAATCTAAGTTAGTGAAATTTGAAGAATTACCTCGAAAAGGGGGGGGAGTCCGAGAAATACTTGAATTGTTTGTAATATAAAATCGTATTGAAAATAGAAGTACTATGATTTTATGAAACGGTTACTTCTAATGAGACGAGGGGAGGTTTATCTATTGAATTCTAAAAGTAAACGAAACGGCTATTGAAATATAAAAAATATGATACAGGAGAAACAAAAAAAGGTAACTTTTTTGAAAGGGAAAGTATAAGAATACTCATCAGGTATTTATAGTAAAATAGGAATGTAGGTACGTAAGCGGTATGAGCCTGCTTTTGCAAGCTCGTATTTGAAATTATATACGTCATCAAAAATAAGAAACTCTATCAATAACTAGTATTATACTTGCCGGAGTTACCGCTACTGTGTATATTATAATACATGGTTGTATTGTAACCAGATTACAATATATATAACGAAAAAAAAAATAACTGTCTCTATTAATTTTTGCAATTTTCATTAAAAATATTTTTTAAAGCCTGATTTAAACCTTAAAAAAATAATAAATTTTTTAGATCAAAAACCACGCTGCCCCACTTAATTTTGACGTAAAAAAACAGAATCAGGCTGCTTCCAAAAAAACTGGTGGGATCCGAAAAAAAAAGAAGGAAACCTTTAGTTCTCCGGGTGAATATTAAAGTATAGAAAGGTATAATATGTTGTCAAATTTGAGAAGAAATAAAGGAAATTTGAAAATAGAAACCTCAACAAATCTAGAACTCTTATCATCCCATGGTTCGGAAAAATTCATGTAACCCTTAATTGAAAAAAATAATTAATTATTTTTTATGTATAGCTTATTAAATTTTTTATTATTTAGATAAAAAATTTGCCAACCTTAAAAAAATATTGCATCTTGTCTCAGATTCTCGAAAGGATAGAGAGTATCCTTAAATTTCTCAATGAATTAGCAACAGCAACCCTTGCCAGGGGCTGATATGTCATAGTTTCTGGGGAAGATAATAGGGGATAGTAATGAGCATCATTGTGTACATTCCGTTGCAAGAACATTCCTTTCTCTTCTTGCACATGATGTTAAAGAAAAGCCTACCTCCTATCCCGTCTGTAAGTCATTTATCTTGTAGAATATATTTTTTTTTCGATATAATACAGGCTCAGATCAATTTCTTAGATAAGCATGATCATATTAATTCCAATATAAAATATACTTGATCATAGTAAATCACAATCACTAGCACGTGTTTAATATACGATAAAACATGTTAACATGACACTACTTTAATATAAGCAACATAAGATATAAGATATATGACATAACATAAAGACAACGCGTAATATAATGTCAGAATATGAGCATTGCAAACTGAACAAGAGGAACTTAATGAACTCCGTAACTGAAAAAATATAAACATCTAATACGAGAAAAAGGAAAGTGAATATATAGAAAAGAAACGCTAAAATTATGAATAACGCCGTAGACTGGTGAGAGGCGATGACACATCGTAAGATATCGAGAAAAGACATGATCATAGATCACTTACATGGTCATGTACCACAACACTTTATTAAAAGTATTCATCAAATATGAATAATCTTCAACTAGCTCAAAACCAACGTGAAAGTGCCTCCCTCAAAGAACCCAACCTTCCACTAAGCCTTACCCCCTAGCCCATCTACAAGTAATTTAGAACATTCTTTTTTTCTGGTCAATAGCCCCTTTTTCTATTAATAGAAGTGGTATAAGCCTTTGAGCCAAGGAATAAAAGGATTCTAGCGTAAAGTTGGCAACATCAGCTTGCAACCCAAGTCAAAGCAATTATATTTCATCTTATTGTTCAATCTCCAAATTTCTAAATGAACGTGGCTGCTGGTGATGGCTTTTGTGTCCTGTCAAATAAAAATAGAACAAATTTATCAATTGTTTTGTATGTATCCATTATTGAACGAAACAATTGTGTAGAACAAAGCAATAAAGACCGAGCATGGTTGATAAATTTCATTATGACATAATCTCCAATTCTCAAATTTTAGGGGTTTGTCACACTGAGACACATGAAACAAAAAAAAAAACCAAGAATCGCTTCAATCTGTAGAAAAACAATAAAGCCTATTTCACTTATTGTTCAAGCAAAATTGGAGAAAGCCTATTTTCCCCTTATCGTTCAAGAGAGGAATGTGTAACCCCCGGAATGCTTGTCTAACCAGAAATCAACCTGTGAGTTGTAAAAATTATACCTACGCAATGTAACGTGATATCTTGTCTAGAGCTACTTGCAAATATTGGACACAATATATTGAGATTCTCACTTTTAGAATTTGAAAGTTATTATTATTCGTCTATTAAATAGATTAATCAAATTATCACATTTATACCAGCAACATTAGATCAAGTTGAAGGCGTTTATGTAATCTACAGTAACCAGAGTACAATACTATGCACCCCTACATTCAACGGATGAGAAAGGAACCAACGAGCAACGCGGTCTCTTCCATAAATTTCTCTTTAAATGTTGTATGAGTCTATTCTTTTTTTTGCTTCAAAACACAGCTTTCGCATTGACTTACAATATGCACAAGAAGTGGACATAGTTACCGACCCACAATTGTATGTTCAATTGCAATGAAACTATTACAGCATAAAGTGTAGACCTCATATTATGTATGTAACTTTAGTAGAAGGTTACACTCGACGTCAACAACATTGAAACTAAAGGTAACGGAGGGTCAGACGTCCTTATTGCCAATCTCCATCATCAACCACTGAGATCACAAAGTGTTCCAAACCTATTGCGAATGGAAAATTTTTTTGGCTACCATTAGTTCCGGAGCGTATAAACCCTATAAATATACTTGATATAACCATCGACGATGAAAACAATATTAAATTGAATTCCCCGATTGCATTAGAACAAGCTTGGAACTATTTCTTCGCCACAAACAATGCCTTCAATTTCCCGGAAATAGAAAAGTGGAGAGAGTTAGACGACAGTGGTTGCCATGACCAACTTGATGAGAGAAGACACTAGATCAACATATCAAGAGTTATTGCAGAGTGGGAAAGATGCCTGGAACAAACAACATGTGGACCTTAAATTAATTTTATCTGAAAACGTTTCAGCACTTACAGGGGTTAGATTTAAGTTCAGGGATGATGGAAGTTGTAAAGCAATAGTTTAGGAGGAGGTTAATCTACACCATGCTGAGAAGCATTTCAATCAAGTCACTGGTGATGTTGATAACAACACTCGGTCCTCATTTGAGTCTCTTTCCAAAGAAGAGAGGCTTGCATATAGAGACACATATCTTGAGCTGTTATCTTCTGGGAGGGATATGTACAATGGGAAGATTGTACTCCTTACTGGAGCTCCAGGGCAGACTGATGACCACCCCTACATAGACCCTGATTCAGAAGAAGATATTGGAATCAAAAAAGTTAAGGTATCTAAAGATATGGTGCGGGCCTTTTATCGCAAACTC